TATCACATTTCACGAATTTAAAGTAAAGCATAAGCATCAACTGTCGCTACAATTTTTAAACCAGAGGCGATACTTCTCAGTAGATGACCACAAAACCGTTGAACTCACCCAAAATGCGAAGTTGAAGATGAGAACAAGGTACTTAAGGCACCGATAACAACAGCTGTGCAAGCCCATGGTGACTGAAGATGTCGAGATTCTTGATTGAACGAAGTTCAGCTAAGTCTACACAATCGCGTATAGTCAACAGCACTTCAACGAGATCACTCCTCAGATGCTAAGCAATTCGCGGAAAATGGACATTAATTTAAGAATACACAGTTAAAAACAAGCTTTTCGACCCACAAAACCACCAAATACGATACAGTTCATATTTCCAGGATCTCAACCACAACATAAAATTACACTGTCCACTGTCGCAATTCCACGATCAATACGAAAATTCAACGAACGGTTCGTTCATCGTACCTGACATAGATCCAGTCATTTTGTCGACTCAGCCAACAACCACGCCTTAATCACATCTTTGATTAATCAAAGGATAATAAAATGACCGATAGGCATTCAGCTCACGTCCCGTCGGATCTACTCCTACGCAGCGGTCACCGAGCACTAAGGCAACGACGCTCAGGTAAGCTTCCACCACGGTCAACAATTAAAACGGCAGTGAAAATTAAGACTGCGATCCCTAAGGTAACCGCGTCAAATCAACTTCGCGACACAACGACCATCTTGCGGCGGCACGCCCAGCTCCAACGATGACCCCAACTCACTCCGGAACAAGAACTGAAGCATACTGAGGCTGTTCTCTTACTCCCGAGGCTCCGAACCGATGCCAGCAAGGACTGGTACACGATTCAATTCTGTTTGGGCCTGCTCAACACTCAGAAATCATACTATCATAGTCGTTAGGTGTCGCTCCTAAGTGTCTGCTTGATGTCGGCGGCTGCATATCCGATTTCCTTCTGGGCTTGCCTTTTAGAATCTGGATAGCTTTTTCCTAACCTTTTTGGGCCCAGTGGACCAGCAAATTTCGAAGAAAAACTCAACTGAGTCTTTTTGAAAGGCTTTATATGGCTAGCATTTAAAAAGTATTTTCTTTATTCCAATAATTAAGTTAAGAACCGCCAGTGAAGCAACAATTGTTGAATGTCTTCCAAAATTAGAAAGGTGGGCATTGAGAAAAGTTTCTCAGAATGAAAAATTAAAATAATACATTTCAACAAGTAAAAATTTGTCCAAAGAATAATTGAGAAAAAACTAACTTTTATTTTTATAATTTGAACCACCATTTTCTGTCCAAAATTTCAAATTGGATTACAGACTTCAGCATTTATACTTTTTGAAAAATTTGTTTATGCTGAAGAAAATTTCCTGCAAACTGGCAAACATACTTTGGTAGTTTATTGGATCAGTGCTGGTCAGTGGACCTGCACACCTTGGGGAACAGTTCTAGAGTATCTAGACTATTCACGAATCGGCTGTCATATGGTGGGTGATTTGGCCAGCAAGAGGAAACTTTTAAGAGCAATTCTTCTGATCAAAATACAGCGAAGACTTCTCATATTTTGTTATTAATACTGTACTTGGAACATGCCTAAAAAGTGTTGCCTATGAAAAAACAGTTGCAGGAACATGAAGGAACATGAAAAGGCATACAGAAATGTAGGCCACTTATAGAGTTCAGGTGAGAATGAAACTCCGTGAGAAGCCTTTTTAATTTCTTCTGTTGCCTACGTTGTTGACACTTGCATTTATGCACAAAACCTCACCCAGTGACAGTCCAAAAAGCAGATCCCTCATACTGTACAGTGCACACCAGGCATTCAATGATTCAACAGGCATTCAACATTTTCCATGGTGTGGTGGAATAGGTAAACAAATTCTGTGGGTATTTTCCTGGAATACAGCATGCATTCAAGAACATTAAAAATCTCTCCTATTGCATTTAACAACACTCCTCTTATAAGAGCTTATTGACAGCCAATCAAACTTTCAGTACAGTAATTGGTCATTTCATGAACTTTGCACCAAAATTGTGGAGAAATGTACAGTATTCCAATTTTAAGCAATGACGTTTGGCTTAGAAAAATATTCAAAAAACAAATCAATGCAAAGAAAAGGCTAAGAATAAACACAACACTTCACCAAAGTACAGTACTGCTGAATAGGCCAATAAATCCGACTTTTGAAGGATTCTCCTCAAAATTTGTGATTGTTTTTGTTAAATGGCACAAAAGACCTTTGGGTGTATGGGGTTCTGCCAAGAACCCAAGTGGTAGATAGTTCTCAATGGCTGGAAATCAAGTTTTCCAAATTCCATGATTTTACATAAATTTTGGTTACACTTTTTTTCAGAAATAGACTCTCCTTTGACAGTTTGACTGCATTAGGTAAGCAACTACGTGAGGACTTTTACTGCTCCTGATTCACAAACAAATACTAAGAAGCTGAATACAAGCATCAGGCCAAGGAATTAAATGTTTTTAATCAACATTAAAGCCATTGCTGAGGCAGGTGTTATTTGAAGGAAATCTGAAAAAGACTTACCAAATGGGGAAAATGCTTCATTATTTCCCCCAGAACTGTTGACACAGTTGAATCTAATTATAATGCAGCCATTGGGACTTGCAGAACAGCTTTGTTGCAACGAACAATTTTTTCCTTTGTCATTGCAACTACAGTATTGCACAAGAACCTAAAAAAACACTTCTTTTGAGCAACTATTCATAAGAACATTCTTCTAAACTTCAAAAAAATTTATATTGGCTGATAGTGTAATAAAAGTGTAGTATTGGCTTATAGTGTAATACATTATTTATGCAATACATGTTCCATTTTATTTTCTCATGGGTTCAGACTGGCTTGATGGATTCTTCAAGGAGCTTTCAAGAATTCTTGATCAACCTTCATGATTTCAATTGGCTTTATAGAACATGATGAAAAATTAGCTTTCATTTCATCCATTTCAAATTTAACACTAGCTGATTGTTTTATCCTGACTAAACAAACATACTCCTTCAACCTTTTATTCAGACAAGCTGGATTAAAATGCTGATTGAATAAAGACCAACAATATAAGAAGTAAACTTCACACATTTAAAAATAAGTTTTTATCCAGAATGTACCTGCTCAATATGCTCCTCATCATCAGGAGCAAATAAAGTTACACAAGCAAGATAATGGGCAGAATAAATGCTTATCTATTCCCAGTGAGATTTTCAAACCATCCAACAAATCAACAAGGCAAGAATTAACATCAGATCCATGGGTCATCGGCATAATCACAAGTATTGATCAACACTGTATCCATAAAGTTCAAAGTCTTTTTGGTAAACTTTGATAATTCCATCAACCAACGGTTTAGGTAGAGCGGCAAAATACTTGGTCATAGTGGACGGCTCAATTATTGTTCCATCTTTCTCAGCAGCATCATGTACTTCCTTCACTGAATCAAGTCGCTGAGATTTTTTGATGTAGTCAAAATCTTTGGCAAGCGTAGCAAAGTCACCAAGAACGTCAAAATGAGTACAACACGGGTTACATTCCACGTGACAGGGTTTCAAATACGGATTCTTCCACAATCCTCGCAGACCAGCATTGATCACATCTTTCTCCACAAATTTGGTGAAGGGCACTGAGCAGGAACAAATGAGGAAAGAAAACGTCATCACACAAAACTCATCTAGTCCAAAGAGTGCTGTACTCACAAACAAGAGACTTCCCAGCTTTCTCGGCTCGTCGTGCTTCTACACCATAGGCCATGGCAATTCGCTGAAATGGATGACGACACGACGTAAAAACCACATATTTCTCTGGCGTATCTGGAGAACCACGTTTCATCAGATCATGTGTGATGACTGAAAATGTGGCATCCCAGAATCGACTCCCAGTGCCCCGCGGAAGGCATCCATAAAGCTTGTAGTCAAACACAAGCTTTCGAGCATCATTGGAAGTCAAAGGATCACAATCAGCATCTGGTGCCACAGATGAGCCATTGCGGGAAGAGTAATATTCCTTGCACATGCGCAGTACACGGGCTTCACGCTCTCTTAAGACAACCGCATGATCTTTTGAGGCTAGCGGTGAGGAACGAACATCAGCTAATTTCAAAAGGGACAGCAGCAAACACACTGCAAAGAACCTCATCATAAACAATTGACCTAGAAATTTGAATTCAAAAGCATAAAACAAATGTTCATTGCATTTTTACAGCTTCCCAGAATTGGAAACCTAATTTGACCTAGTGTTGTGCACATGTGACGGGATACCAACTGTTTTTCAAATGCAAGAAAACAGAGGAGATATTACAATCTTACACTTTCTAATACTGTGGTCAAGCGTTTCAGGAATTTACAGCAGAATACAAACTCGACAATAATGCACTTCATGCATTTAGGAATAATATATAACTGAATTGTACTATATTTCAGTGTTACAGAAGTTATTACAGAAGATGTCCACACATCTACACTATCCAAGGAATTGTCGAAATTCAAGCATTTTGACACATGTTCTTCAGCAAGATACGTTTAATGACTTAGACCAGCCAGCCAACCATAACCTCACTGTAATATCATTGGGCGGCGCCATGTTTTCTCCCTGCTGCCCTCTATATGGCAATTGACACCAATTGATTGCTCACCCTTCCCAATGTTTATTCTGCACCCTATTTTATTTCTAATCCCATTTATGATTATATTTGCCTGACCAACGAGACCTTCAAAAAATTCTAGAAAGCTCCTTAATTTTGTTTATGTCTGATACATTTTTGAATGACATCTGCTCGGTTTGCTACAAATTTTTGCCATCAAAAAAGCCAGCGCTTATTGTGGTGATTTGTGTTCTGACTTTCAGGGTTGACCCAAAAAGAGCCCGCGCAACGAATTAGGAGTTCGCCGAGGTGCATTGTTTCGCGGCAATTGTAGGATTTAGTGATCACTTGCCGGAAGAAAGGCCGCCGAGTGAATTTTTTTGTCTCATGAGCCGAGTTATGACCGTAATCATCGTTTTTCAGTCAGTATTTCAGAAATGTTGTGACGAAATCGATCCAAGCAAATTTAATTGCTGAGTGGAATGGATGATCGTGAGTCGCTCGCAGGTATTCCTATGCCACTATTTAACTTCCTTCAGCGAAGTATATTGTACGCTCAACCTTTTCATAGGCGGTCGTGAAAGACGCACGGCGTCTCGCAAGGTATGCGATCGACTCAGTGCGCTGCAGCGGTTGAAAGAAAGCCGGGGGAAATCCTTGAAGGACAAGTACGAAATCGAAGAGGTCGACAATGTATACGACGAGGTGGACGAGAATGAATATTCTGAACGAGTGCGAGAACGTTCTCTTCGCGATTTCGTTATAGACGATGGTTGGAATCCGATTCGATTTAATGCTCATGTACGCGTAATGAGTGGAATGCTGTTCATCTAGATGGATCTGGTTACTTCGATGATGGAAGAGAAATATTTGACGGAGACAGCGGGGAGGAAGATTCAGATGCTCTTAGTACGCGCAGAAAAGCAGCGAAAGATGCCGGTCGCAAATCCAGTCATGAGAAGGAAAGCGTCAAAACTGGTGACATCCGGAAAATGCTTAAAATTGCTCCATCAAAGAACAAACCAAAGGTCAGAGATCTGTTATTCTTCAAGTATTGACTTTTTTTTTAATATCCGTTTGTATTTCCAGGTGAGCGCCGCAGATCTTTCGAATGACTCTGATCTGCTCAGCATTATGGCGGAAATGAAATGTGTTACGAAGGCTGCACCGGTTAAGCAGACGAAACCGTACGTGATCTTTTCAAGATGCCGTTGAACTCTGTTTAGAATTTCGTACTTCGAATCATTTTTCACGACCTATTCTGCGAGAAAATTGCGGCATATCTTGAAATTTTATCCAAGTGCCGTAAATTTCGTCTGGCATTTTACTTGGAGCGATCTGCTCAGAAACTTACAGGACTATCGGGAAATATGTCAGGTCATTTTAAAATGTATCTGAAGTTTTCGATTGAAGGTTTAAAGTATTGTACCGTAGTTGATTTTCCAATCGAAGTCACGTGGTCGTTAGTCTAAATGATTGAAGCTCTAATGTATCCAAAGTTATTTAAACAGATCTACAACATTTTTTTTTTTTTTTTTGCTTTTACGTACTGCAGTGCGAAAAATCCTTTCGTGAACAAGCGCCCAGCTGTTTCGGAAGAATCTTTGGTTCGTAATGTTCGTCCGAGAATAACGTCCGAAGCTCCAGTGAGTTCTTCGCTTTTTGATGCATTGATGGAGGACGACGCAGCGATGCAGAACGAGGTTTCGGAAGAGAGCTCTTTAGCAATCAGTGATTTTGATTCCCAAACTTCTACTATTGCTGAGGTAAAGTAATACATTGTTCGGGAATTTAGCGTAGAATACAACTTTACTTTGAATGTTTCCAATTTTTTATTGCATTGCAGAACGGAATTGAATCGTTCTCGCAGGACACCGAGGGGATCCAAGTGAAAATGGAGAGAGATGATCCAGAGGCCATGGAACCATTGCAGAAAGAAGTCAAAAGGTACGTTTTTTGAGGCATCCATTTCTGTACTGTAGCTTTTTTTATTCGTAGGTTAGACTTCTACTATAAATTTTTTTTTTTCAGTGAATCGAGAATCAAAGAAGAAAACCTCGGGGATCAATGGGAGCGAATATTGGCGCAACAAGACTCCGTTAAAGCCGAAGTCGACGAAAAGGGAGAAGCTGGTGTGCAGATTAAGGGGTTTCCTTTGGTGAAAGATGCATCAAATAATGAAGTATTTTCGAAATTTATGCTATTTCTGTAATATTCTCGTAAACTCTGTGTCGTGTTTTTTTTTCTTCAGTATTTGAAGTTTTTCTGGCTGGATGCGTTTGAAGAGATGAAGCAACCTGGTACAGTGTTCTTGTTCGGAAAGGTCGCTGTAGATGCGAAAACGTACGTTAGTTGCTGTATTTCTGTTCGCAATTTGGAGCGTCAAGTGTTGTTTCTTCCGCGTGAAAAAGTATGTTGAAAGTTTCACATCCCTCGCACTAAGTTCCTCACTTCCAAGTTCATTTCATAGCATTTAAAAACTGGCCAAGAAGTTACATGCAAAGATGTCTACGAGGAGCTACAGAAAATTGTCTTGAAAAAATTCGGAATCATGAGCTTCAGGGTACAGGAGAAAGACATGAATTACGCCTTCGAACGACCAGATGTTCCGAACTCGTCGAAATATCTCGTCGTCCGGTATCCAGTGAGTTCGAATCTGCCTTTTTTGAATTAACTATTGAGAATTGTAACATCCTCCTGTAATTGCAGGCCAAGTTCGGAGAGTTGCCCCCAACGCTGACAGGAGACACATTTAGTTGCGTTTTCGCTGCTAAAACGTCAGTTTTGGAAACTTTCTTGATCCAGCAACGATTGAAGGGTCCTTGTTGGCTTCAAATTCACAATCTAAAACCCTCTCCTGTGCCTTATTCTTGGTGCAAGTTGGAGGTAAATTTCGTGAATCTTTTTGTCATCATGACTTATTTTTTGATGTTATATCTTGAATTTGCTCATCCTCCGGGGTATCTTGTAAAAAAGAAATACCACATCACGATGTCCCAACGCGAGAAAAGACACAAAATCCGTTTTGTATATTGATTTCATTTTATAAATGGGATTGTGATAGGTCATTTATGTCCAAAAATTTTCGAAGGAACCTTGAAGTCTCTATTGTCTAAAAATGGTCACCACCTCTTGAGAAGAATTTCTTTACCTCGTAACTACGACTATGTTTTTTCTGAAGTTCTTGTGACGACATTTCAGCGATTAGACGTTAATTTGAATAACCATTGGGAAAAATGAGAGAAATCGTCGTTTCAGGGACTTTTTTCCACAGGAATCTGGATACAGTATTGTATTCCTGTCTTCGCGTCTGCTCATGTACGTGATAAAAAACGTGATTCATAAGTCGGTGCTGCATTGCCAATTCTTCGAATCATTGTTGTGTTGGATTCCCCGGAAATATTCGTGCATCAGTGAAGTGAAATGTCTTCCGTTGTGAGAAGATGTTTTGAGTTATGCTGTTGAGGAAGTGCCTTCTGGTAGCTGTTGATATTTGTCCTGCGTTCTATTTGTATTTAACTTCCCTCTATTCTTGTGCCGCAGAAAGGTGCGTTACACAATCTCCCGCGTTTTGAGTGGTTGAATCAAAGTGTAAATTCTGTCCGGGAAAGTTCTGCATGTCTTGACTGTGTTCCGGGCACCCAGGAGAATGAGTCTTCCAAAGAAAATTCAAAGAAGACAATACATAACCATTGAATTGAAGAAGGAAATGATAGCTCAGTATGAGAAAGGCGTGCGACTCAAGCATCTGGTCACTCAGTATTCCTTCAACAAGTCAACAATCCAAAGTATCTTGAAGCGAAAAGAAACCATCAAGAATGTCAAGGTAGCCAAAGGAGTAGCGAGGGTCAACAATGCACAAAGAGGTCCTATCATTGATGAAATGGAAAACTTGCTTCTCATTTGGCTCAATGAAATGCAGATGGCGGGTAGCTCCAACACGCAGGAAATGATTTGTCAGAAAGCCAAGCAAATCTACGAAGACCTGAAGCGAGCTTCTCCTGGCACAAGTTCAGAAGAAAACGAGTTCAAAGCTAGTCGAGGATGGTTTCAGAGGTTCAAGAAAAGAACAGGCATCGAGCGTAGTGTCACGTGTGGTCAAGAAAAGGTGTGGACTGATGTGTCCATGAGGAGTCTTAATCCAGATTTTCTACCGGTTTGTGACCTCAGAGAAACCATCGATGAAGTTCCTGAATCTATGACTGAAATGGAAACCCTAGGTGCGGATATCAAAGAGGAAATGGATTCCATAGACTTCGAGTTTATGGACGAACAGGACGTGAAACTCTCCACTGAAGAGCTCAAAGAGCTTCACAGACAGCAGTGTGAAGAAATGGAAAAAAACGAAGTTTCCATAAAATGTGAACTCTCAGAAAATGAGAATCATCTCGCCCATGAATCTCTGCCATCGGCTGAGTTTGCCGAAGAAATCTTGAGTTCCTGGGAAAGATTCCAAACCACAGTGTTAGACTGTCACCCAGATAAAACTCTAGCTCAAGAAGCAGGAGAAATGTATGAAATGACGTGCTTGCAGTACTTCCGAGATATCTTGGAGATTAAGAAGCAGCAAGTGGCTTTGGAAGGATACCCATCGCGAGCATCTGGATCTAGAAGAAGACAGAAGTCCGAAGTGAAAGAAGCCGCAAAGAAACAGCATTCTTGATGAGCTTCGCGAACAGGGTTTTTCCTTGAAATGAAGAAATGTCTGTGATGGGATTGCCTGAAAACATTGTACACAGCGTAAAAGTATTGAAATTTGAAAAAAACTGTTCCTTCTCGCATTTATCTTCCACACGCTTTTGTTTGGCCGCCTGATCTTCATTTCTGCGACGGGTGAGCTAGTTTCCAACAACTCTCCATTTTCTATGAGAATACCATTTATAAACTCTTGATCCCAGAACTTTGAAATACAAAAATATGTTGTTTTTAGGATGAATATTTGAGAAAAACGATACTGTATATGACCCCATGAAAAATTCGATAGGTTCAATTGAGGTGGTGACCATTCGAAATCAATTCATATCAAATTCTTTCTCCGATTTTGAGATACCCTCTGTGTATAAGAAGGTTGAAAAAACATTAAATGGCGGAACCGACGAAATTAACAAGTTTTTAATGAGAGAACCGTCGCAGGAAACCGCGAAGAGCATTATTAGAACAGTTGACAAGCTTTAATGGCAAATTTTTTTTTTTCAGAAAACATTTCATGAGTATTTCCTGTAGTTATCTTGAGAAAAGGTTCTAGTTTGGATGCATTTTTTGAACAGAAATACTGTACTGCATATGACACCAGAAAAAATCGATATTTTCAATTGAGGTGGTGACCATTGGAAAGAATTTATAATCAAATTCGTGCTCCGATTTTGGGATACCTGAAGTATAAAATGAGCTTCAGAAGACGAAAAGGTCAGAAACGACGAAGAGCATTATTGAAAACGTTGACAAGGTTTAATGAAGAATACTTTTATTTTCAATCTTGCGAAAACATTTCTTGAGTTTTTCCTGTAGCTATTCTAAGAACAGGTTGTAGATAAGATGAATATTTTAGAACAGCAATACTGAATGTGACAATAGGACAATGCGATAGGTGCAATTGAGGTGGTGACCATTACAAAGAATTTCGTTTTGAATTATCGGTCCGATTTCGGGATACCTGCAGTGTAAAATAAGGTTCAAAAGACATCAAAAGTGCGGAACTGTGGAAATTCATAAGTATTTAATACGAGAACCATTGCCGAAAACGACGAAGACCGTCTTCGGAAAAGTTGACAAGTTTTAATGAAAAATAGGTTTTTTTTTTTCTTCTCTTGAGCAAACATTTCTTGGGTTTTCTCTTGTAGTTATCCCAAGTTCAGTACAGTATGTGTGTTTTATGTTGATGCATGGTGCTGATTCAATACCTTTGTATTTTTGTACAGGCGGATGTGGACAGTTACAAAGACGTCAAGATGGACGTGGCGGAGGCAGCTCAGGAACCGCCGCCGATTGTGATGCTTTGCCTAAGTGTACAAACTTTTATAAGTCCCAGTTTGCACAAGTTGGAGCCTGTTATGATTGGCATGTTGACGCACACACGTTATCCTTTGGCCACGTCGGAGAGGAAAGCGTCGTTTCAGGACCATTGCTGCTGTAAGTTGTGTTCAGTTTGGCGATCTTCGTTGTGTTGATTTTTTTTTCGTTTGATGCTTAGTATTCACCAAGCCGGCTGCGTGCGTTTGGCCTTACGACCATCAGAAGGTGTTTGGGAAATTCACCAAGACGTCCTTGAAGAAAATGAATACTGTTCGGGACATGCTCTCGTGCTTTTTGGCAAAGGTGGGTAAAATTGCTGATTACTGACTGTCGGGGCTAGAGCTGAGCTTTTCAAATTTTTTCATGACTGTGTCACTTTCAAGAGATACCAATTTTCAAGTTATTCCTCCTAGGGCTTTTCCTGGCTTCAAAGTGTAGAATGTTCACAGCTTCAGTGGGGCATCAGCCATCAAACTTACTTCATTCTTGAGCAGAGTTTGTTCGCCAAATCACGCCTTTCCTTAATGAAAGCTTAGAATAATTTTATTCGGTTCCAAAACCTTGAAAGTGCTCATGAAACTCAAGAAAAAAATTCCAAAATATTTGTAATACCATTTCTACTTGAGTACTGTGCACCCAAGTTTTTCAGCCTAAAATTTGGGCAAGAATTTATCCCTGATTCATATTGGCACCCCATTTTTAGAGACCAAAAATTGAAATACTGTACAGTATTTTGAAATAAAATGCATCCGAATTCTACTCTTGACAAAATGCAGTCAAATTGAATGTTGATTTTTTATCTTTTCCATCTATTTTAGATTGTCTGTAGAAATTGGTTAAAGATTCTGCGTTGGAATCAAGTATGAGGTGTACAAAAGCTCCAAATACTTTTAATGTTACATAGGTGGACTCCGTGTGACAATGTTGTCTACAATGATTTTCTCTGTTGAAAAAATGTTTATTGTAACCATGGGGTTATCTTAACGAGTTCCTGGGCTTCTCTATTACGAAATTATTTCTTTAGATAATTTTTTTCTGTTCTCGTGAATTTTGTTGTAGAGAAAGTCCACCGGTACCTATTGTATGATGTGCACTACCCTTTTTCTTCTCATTTCAGAAAAAGAAAGGTGCTTGTTATGCTCTGTTAGTCTAGTAAAAGTGGCAGGCCTGATACTTCGTGTCTCAAGTGCTTGAAAGGGCGGAGGTAATGCGAAAAATCAAATTGCGAGAACTTCCAAGAAACAACAATGCACAAGTACATTATAATGCAAATCCTTACGTATATGGCAAAACCATGCAAACATTATTTTACCCGAGTGATTTCAGTCTCAATCACTGCTGTAAAACAAGAAAAATGCAGTAGGAATTCTTGGATGCCAATTTTCAGACACGTAAAAAGATTTGAACTTACTGTATTAGGATGTGATTATTTAAAGTTTGAAAAAAAATTGTCAGCTGAGTCAAAATTTGTTAGCCGGAGGCGCTGATGCCCGACAGCGAAGTTTGTTAGCCAAGATCCCACTGATTATATCCTTATTGAGTTGACAGCCTTTTTGTTCCCTGATGATGAGATTCAACCTGCAAGTCTTGGGTGGGAAATTGCTTTTTTCTGAATCTGATTCATGTCCTCTGCAGATTCAGCTTTTGGATCCAGATGTAATCATCGGCTACGATTTGACTGGCTGCACTGTGGACGTTTTGCTGGACAAACTCCATGAGCACAAAGTTCCCCATTGGTCACGTTTGGGACGATTGAGAAGAGCTCACGCTCCTCCAAAGGTAAGAATTTATTTTATACTTCTTGTGAAACTGGTAGATTTTGAATCTTTCGTGATTTTTAACGACAAAGGGAGGCGTTTTCGGACATATGGAGAGAGTTTTCACGGGAAGAGTCGTATGTGATGTGAAAATATCGATCAAGGAGTTGATCCGTTGTCGTAGCTACGATCTCCCCACCGTTTGCTCGGAGGTGTTCCCGAAAATGCGACCGGAAGACGTTCCGCCCAGTTTTTCTTCCGAAGAAACTGTCAAATTCTACGAGTGAGTCGCATTTTCCGTTCCTCAATTCATTGAATTTTGGTGAACCTCGAATTTTTATTTTTCAAGCAACAGAAAAGGCCAAGTAAGGACAGTTAAAACATACTGTAAATCCTCGAAATTTCTCAAGAGAGAATTTGTTTGATCTGGAAGAAAAACAGTATGTTATCTCCTTACAGCGGATCTCGTTATTACGAATTGATGCGTACAACGAATTTATTTTTTGGTCCCTGTACAATAACCACAATGTTTTTTACTTTTTTTTTAAAGCGGATTTTCGTTGATAACGAAGCTTTTTTTCAAGGTACAAATGCTTCGTTGTAACGAGATTCTACTGTACAGGAATTCGGTCTATGCTCGAATATCTCAAGCATGTGTCACACCCAAGTTCTGAACACACTTTTTGGGTTAGAAGAAAGTACGGCCTAAATGGTATTACTCATTTGAATACGTCAAATGATTTGTTTTGCGAATTATTTTTTTTTTTCGTTTAATGTCGGGAATATTTTCAACAGTGTAGAGACGTTTCCTGTTTTTGCAGTTCTTCCGCAAAAATAACAGAATTGATCACGTGGACGATGCTGGAAGGGGGTCGGGTTTTGGATCTCTGTTCGGAGCTCAGCATTTTACCGTTGGCTTTGCAAATCACGAAAATCGCTGGGAACTTGCTGTCCCGGACATTGTTGGGCGGAAGATCTGAACGTAACGAATTCCTGCTATTGCACGCTTTCGCCGCCAAGAATTTTGTAGTTCCTGACAAACATTCCGGTGAGAAGAAAGTGATCTACTTTTCGAGTTGTCCGGAGGCAAAAGTTCCGGGTTTTTTTTTCACTCGTGGATATTGATTTTTAATTTTTTTTATAAAAATGTACGGTAAGCTACAGAAATTTCGAAGGTGGAATCTCTTGAAATTTCATTGTGTTGAAGAACATTTCGCAAAAGCTCTTTCACGACGAATCGCGTTCTCTGAATTTCTAGAATCTTGGAAGGGAACACCAGAAAATTTCTTTCAGTTATTTTCTAAAGTTGTTTTATTTTCATTAAAGTTCCTGAGTTTTAATCTTTGAAATTTTTCTGCCCAAAAGATTTATCTTTTAATGTATCTCTTGGCTTCATGAACGGTAGATTTTTTCACGTAAGGTGAAGAATTTTCTTAAACCTTAGGTACGGTAGCAATAACCTGTTGAGAAGAGAAATTAAAATTCCCTTGATAAGGAAGATTTTTAAATTGGGTTTACCTTCAAATTTCTTTTCAGGAAAAGATCGGAAACTCATTCACGACGATGACGAAGATGACGGCGTGGCACAGAAAGGAAAGAAGCGTAAACCGGCTTACAAAGGCGGTTTAGTGTTGGAACCGAAGAAGGGATTGCACGATAATTACATCCTGTTGATGGATTTCAAGTCCTTGTACCCGTCCATCATTCAAGAGTACAACATCTGCTTCACGACAGTCGAGAAGACGCCTCAAGCCGCCCGTGGAAAAGTCAGTGTTCTTCTTTTTGTGCAATTTTACCATTATTTTAAGGGTTGGACTGTAGTGCCTGGGTTAATGGACCTGATCCATTCCAGTGGGAAATCCATTACCCGGAAAGCCCATTAACTGAATAATGTAACGCTTGCGTAGAGAAGGTATGATTGGTTCCCTGCCCCCCTTTCGCAAAAGATAATCTCCCGGCTGAGTAATAAAAAGTCCCGTAGAATGGCTAGTCAGCTCCGAATACCTTGTTATTCTTTTTGTATAAATTTGTAAATTATTTAATCAATTCAAGTTTGGCAGAAATTAATTTAGAATAACTGCAGGATAACAGCTGTTGAGGATAATGAAGCTGAACGCGATCAAGACTTCCGCAAGAGCTTCTACGTGATTGAAAATTACGTTTGCAGCCACAATTCCTGCAACAACCTATTATTCAAGGACAAGCACTTTCATTTTAATTTCCGAAGCAGGATCTACTTTGCGAAACGAAAATCGATTGGCAGAAATAAATAAACAATCCATTGTCCGGAAATACGTTTGAACCTTGATAAGTCGAATGCCTACCCGTGTCGAATTTTTTTCTTTTTTTCAAGTGGAGTACCTGTCTGGTTTTTTTTTTTTCTTTTTGGAAACAATGAATCAAAAGCCTCCTGAACTTGAAGGTTTCCCCTTTATACCTCCATGAGTCTAATGTTCTGAAGGCCTTTTAGCTATCATTTTATTGACACAGGAAAGAGAAAAAGGAATAAAAATATGACTTGGTGCGCTTTGAAATGAAATGGAAAACTTATCGAGCAAATAAACTCTTGTCTTCACGTTCCGCATCCTATCAACTCATTTGAAAAGCAAAATAAGGCCCAAAATATCACCAATTACGATTTCCTGTAAGTTATCTTTCTTTTCCCTCCACAAAATTTTTTTTCTCAACTCTAACCCTCCCCAACTCGAATTTTTCTGCTGGTCCCTTGAAGCTCGACTTGAAGATGCTCAATTTTTTTGTGTATTTTTTTTTTAGACTATTGAAGATGAGGAGGAGGAGTGGCTGCCGCCAGTTCCGGAGCAAGGATCCAAGCCGGGAATTCTTCCTTCTGAAATCCGGAAATTGGTCGAGACGCGGCAAGCTGTGAAAAAAATGCTGAAGGAGCCGAATTTATCTGCAGAATTGAAACAGCAATATGATGTGCGTCAAAAAGCCATCAAGCTGATGGCGAATTCCATGTACGGTTGCCTGGGTTTTTCGCATTCAAGATTCTACGCCCCGGTATTGGCCAGGCTGATCACCGGTGAGTCTATACATTTCCTCAGTTCAGGTATCACAGAAATGTTACATTTGACGGCTGTCGAATGGCAGAAGCCGTAGCGCGAATTTCATTTATTTTAAAGTTGATAAGTTCATCTAATGGTATTGTGTTCATCGAAATAATTGCAGTACTTTTGAGTGTCTTTTCTTTTCATTGATGAAGACAATGATGAATCTCAATTTTTGTCTGTTCAATTGATGTATTTTTCAGAAAGAGGATATACGGTAGTGGCAGTCACAATTTTATTTAAACTTCTCTCAGTTATCTTAGGGTCCGTCTGCACCTGTGTTTCTTGTACGAGTACTTGTTCGTGTAAATTCCTACAAAAGCAAAAGAGCAAAAAGGGTTTCTCCAAAATTTTTTGGGATTTTCCATCCAGAATTTTGGAAGCGTGTAAAATTAATGTACAGTACTATTGTACTACTAATTTAACTTTTCGGATGCACTATGTAAATTCAATGGGAGATGAAAACGTTCCGCGTAATTGGTAACATTGGACTGCATCTATTTTTATGAACTTTCATGCTCCGCTGTTTTTTTTTTTTTATTGCATTTTTTGGATTCCCCTCTGCATGGAATCATGTCAACTATTCATGCTTGAATTTTGATGCTTAGTATTTTTAATGATTGATGATTTGTTTCCTACTCAGCCAAGGGAAGAGAAATTTTGGAGCACACGCGAGATCTCGTCCAGAATAAGATGGGGCTTGAAGTCATTTATGGCGACACTGATTCCATCATGATCAACACGAACGTGCGAGACCTGAGTCAGGTTTCTAAAATGGGAAATCGGGTAAGTTTAAGCATTCATATTCAGGGTTTTGAACTTCTTACGCGTTTTTTTTTTAGTAGAACATACTTTCCTATTGATAAATGTACTGCATTTTATGTAGACTTTCGCTTCTTGAATACTTCAGTGAATCTGCTCATGATGAAGTTCGGTATTTTCGAGAATCATTATAGTTTTGGAGGAATTAAAATCCTGTGCAGTGCTGTATTCGAAATATCTTTCGTGGGTGTATTTTGTTGGAATTGGAAGCTTCCGTGCAATTTTTCAAGTTGCACGTGGTGAATACTGTATTGAGTATTGTTGATCTTTTTCGGGTGGATGTAGATACTGTATTATCGACGCGTCTTTTGATTGTACCACGTATTTAGTTGAAGAATTCTCACGTTTCTCAACAATTCCATCCTCAGATTCAAGTGGAAGTGAACAAAGCTTACAAACTCCTGGAACTCGAGGTGGACAATGTTTTTCGCGCGATGCTCTTGCTCAAGAAGAAGAAGTACGCTGCCGTGAACGTGGTTGTGAATCCAGACGGCTCCACTACGGAAACCATCGAGCTGAAAGGACTGGACATTGTCCGACGTGATTGGTCAACTGTGGCTTGTGAAGCTGGTCGCCATGTTGTCAACACGCTCCTTTCTGTCGATCCTTTGGACGAGAAGTTGGACAAGATTGCAACATATTTAGAGACTGTCGGCAACAGGGTAATTGATGCTTCAAGGATTTATATTATTTCTCGGAAGAGGTTCTGCTTTGAGTCTGGAATCACCGTGATGCCTGTGGTATATTTTCATACGAGGGTTCTAACAAAAGTTATCAACTGCCGCCACTTTGGCGGCTGTCGGTGAAAATGGCGGAATTGCCTTGGATTATCTGGAGGCAAACCTTAGAAAGAATGCCAAGTTGATTTCAAAAATTCTGAGGGGAAAGCTGGGCTACAACAAAAAAAGGGCGCCTCATCTTTTGAGTGGAGAGCAAAACTCTGCCAGGGTGAATTATAAAATTCAAAAAAATTGTTAAACAGGGCTAATTTTTTTTGGTGTGCCAAAGAATATGTTTTACCTAAAGAATAAATTTTTTTCAGCTCAATTGTAAGTCATTTGCATTGCTACTCCGAGAACTTTCGTTAGAACCCTCGTATACGAAAATTCTAGAGATTCGACCCTTTTCTAGGATGGCTCTCATTGACTCAACGCGCAATTCTAAAGTTTTTTCTCTTTCAATCGTAATGCTTTTTATCTTGTAAGTTTCGACGGTGATTGACTACCGTTTTCGGAAAGCTTATACGGTAGTTATTAAAAGGTTTCGAAGTCTGTAGAAATTATGTTGCGAAATTGTTTGCCCATTACGGGACGGCACAGAAAACTTTTTGTTTTGATTTTCGAGCAAGAAGACAGCATTACGTAAACTGCAAAGTTGAATATTCGAAGAAAGATTTGAAGAAAAGTTACACACTAATTGCTTCTGATTTTTTTTTCTTCAAAATGATCTTTTTTATGTGGTTGCGATGGCCATTTGAAAAACTTACCAATTTCCACTGCAGACGTTTCCAAATCAAGAATAAATTCTATTGAAGCTGCATTATCTAAAAAATGAACGCAGAAAAACTCGTGTTAATCTGAAAGAAATTCAACTCCGAGGGCTTTAGAAAGGTTGTAAGTATTTTGCATTTGTATGTCAGATACTGTATTTTATTATGGTGCTGAGGGTTGGATTGAAAAGAACTGTAAATATTTTAGATGGAATACTGATGAATCCTCTGATTTATTTTCGTCCAGGTTCGTGACGGAAAGTGCGAGTTGGAGGAGCTGACTATTGCCAAAACGTTGACGAGAGACCCGGCGTTATATCCAGATAAAAACTCGCAACCTCACGTTGCTGTTGCGATGAGGTTGAATGCAGAAGGGGGAAAGAAGCTCAAGGCTGGAGACACTATTAAATACGTCATTTGCCTGGTTAGACCATTTTTCCGTCACTTCAGATTTTACGTCGATTTCGTCTCCATTCTTGCGCGTATAACAGATCACGCAATTGTTTTCTGATGCAATATTTCATGTCATGTCTTTTTTATTCTTGAGGGGTGTGGAACTTTGGCTGTGCAATTCCTTTTGTCGCTTTCAAATTGGTCTTGTTTTGTTTCAGGATGGAACGACGTCATCGGCGACTCAAAGGGCTTATGCTTTGGTCGAGATGCAAAAAGACAGTAAGCTGCAGGTGGACACGGACTACTATTTATCGCAGCAAATCCTGCCGGTGGTTTATAGACTGTGTGAGCCTATTGAGGGAATAGATGCGGCTCGAATTGCGGAATGTCTCGGTAGGAAAAATGCGTCTTTTCTTTTTTGGGTTTGAATAAAACGGAAAGTATTGAATTCTTCAAGGTTTGGATGCGAGCAAATATCACCATATGGGGGCCTCAACCGCAGCTACGGAAAGGGAAGATATGATGATGTCAGCGAACAGGATTGATACGGACCGATTCCGACATTGTGAAAGGTTAGATTCGTTTCGAAAAAAAAAAATGGAAGCTTATGGAATAAGAAAAAGGTTGACTTTCGTGTAATATTTGTTTTATTTTTTTTAAACCGCTCAAAAGTAGGGTTGGTCCTTGCCATGAACTACCTTCTGGGAGGAGTTTTTTTTATTTCCGTCACAAATTTCTGGTCTGTGCGGTTTTTTTTTTTTACAACAAAAGATTCAAAATCTGTTTTCAAAAAATGTTTGTTGCAGTATCCAATTTTTTTCTCATTTTGACTTCCGAACTACATTTGACCTGGATAAAAAATTTAACAAAGGTTCTTGACGAAACTCTCGAAGGAGGAAACTACTTCTGATCTCCGATTTTTCTCGATAGCTGAGGAAGAAGCAATTTTTCCGCGAAAGGAGAGAAAACAGTATTCTATTCTCTTTAAACTTGAATCATTTTCACAAAAAATCAAAATTTGTCGTCCCTAAATAATTTTAAATACAGTATCCAATTTTTCTGATCTTGGCTTCCGAGCAAATTTTTTGGAGGATAGCAAATCACATCACGGTTTGCTCTTGAAGGAGAATACAGCTGTACTTCTTGTGATCTCCCACTTTTCTCAATACTGTGTTTAAATAAGACGCGCATTTTTTTTTTAAGAAAGCAGCAAAAAAGTATTGATGGACCTATCTGACACATCTTGGCGTACCGAAATCTAATTGGTCCGAAGCTGGCGTGATTTTAATTGATTTCGGACAGAAAATTATCTTTGCAGTCTGTATTCTTTCCACTTTCATGAACTTGACAGGTGCTTTAAAGATAATGCCCATTCATTCACTTGAAATATTGGATATGTTGATGAATTTTTATTCATGCCGTTTTAAACTGGATTTATGGCCTTTTCTTTAGAAAAAAAGAAGAAAATAAATGAACAATGATGAATAACGAATGGAAGGGTATTTATATTTTTCGAGTAAGAAAAAGGCATAAAATCTACTTTCAAATACATGTACAGTGTGAAAATATTGAGCACAGTGAGTTGAGAGAAATATGAGCAATTTAGATTTTAGAATACCTGTTGCATGAATAATTATTTTTTATTCGTTTCTTTCAGACTCGAATTGATGTGCTCGAAAGAAAATTGCAAGGCAAAGTTGATACTTAACGGGCTGCTGACCAACGGCGGTGATGTTGCGAGTATCAATCAAGACCCGAATTTGAGTTTCCAGCTGCTTCGCTGTAGCAACGAGAATTGCGATTGGAAACCGTTTTCAGAACCAGAAAAAGTAGCGAACGCATTGACGAAGTCCACTAGACGGTTGATCTCCAAGTATTACCAGGTTCGTGAGAGGGTAATTTTCATAAATTGAATTACCCTTTTAATGTGACGCAAGAAGGCGAAATATTTGCATTTTTGACGCTGGATTTCGCAGAGTGCTTTGAAATGCGACGATCACGCATGTGCCGAAGAGTCCAGAGCATTGCCGCTGAGGTTTAGCAGAGGAACCCCGGTGTGTCGGAGTTGCAATTCCGGCGGCTTGTTGAGAGAATACTCTGAAGCTCAGTTGTACAATCAGCTATGCTTTTTCCAGTTTATGTTCCACTTTGAAAAGGCCACTCTGGGAATATCTGCAGTCGCGAAAGGTAAGATTTATGCTGTTATCTGTCATGGGATGACTGACAACTGTTCGCTGCCTCGAAAATATTCCAAAAGGCTTGTTATTGCTCCTGAAATTGGATGGAGAATACAGATAGTAAAATATTGTATCAGGTATTCTAAGAAAATATTGACTTCCGAAATGCCTAATTTAGGGCTTTTTCAACTTTTTCTGGATAGTACATCTTCCAAAATGTGGAGTTCTTCATATGCCAGCCACTGTTCGTTAACGTTTGCCCATTAGTAGCAGTGCATAACCTCAGGAGGGTTGTCACACTTGGGCGCGACCTTGGTTATTTCTAGAGTAGGTTTGAATGGTAATAAAACGATTGAAAACATTAATTTGCAGCCCATGTAATCAGGTTCTTGAATTTGTTTGCAGATGAAAAACATTTTCCTATGTACTGCATGGTGCGCGAAAACTTCTGTTACAGCCAGAGTTCTTCACCCATGTCACGGGGTTCTTAAGATTTGTCAGGGTAGCTGAAGATAGAATTTCTTCGTTGGTTGAACCGTTATCTAAAATGTAGAAAAGATATTGGCCAAAACAAACGAATTTCGATTTTAGCCCTGATATATTTCGGACAGTGGAGCGTTTGAGCCTCTGGGGATGGGGACTCATTGCGTTTATTCTCATTTTAAATCTTGTCGTGTGTCTCAACTCCGTGAATTGTGGAATGTTTGTGTGCTTCGGTGTTGAAACGCCGAACAATATCTAGACATTTATTTATATTATAAACCCTTTTATTTTCCAGGTCGTTTGACGAGGATCCTCGCGGAAAACCGAGATTTGCACGCGTCTCTTAATCGTTTGAGCAACCACATGGAGAAGATCATACGGTCGAATTCTTATTCGATCGTAAATCTGGGTGAACTCTTCGCGAGCGCGTTGCCGAAGAAACGATGATTGCAATGTACACGCCTTTTTTTTTCAATGCCCGTTTTTACGAGTCTGGAATTTTCTTGACTGAATTTTCATTGCCGCTCTTTGTTTTTAATGAATTTTTCGTGACTCCTCCGTAGTGCCGGATTTTTTAAATTTTTATTGTAACGCACGCGCGCGTGTGAGAATACTTTTTATCATGTTTCTAATAGTTTCTGGCGAATGTGTTTTCAGCGAAGGCGAATACAGCGGCTGTTATATTTTCGTTTCTGATGTCATATTGCGACGCTCGCGCAAAATAAAAGCTGGTGGAAAATTCCGACGCTTTTCATTGGTTATGGTACAAACGGTGCCGCGGTTGGAATCAGTCGCAATATGGCAGGTTTTCTGTCTTCCTTGTTGTTACTGACTGTGAATCACTTGGATTGTACGTGAGATGCCCCTTCTGTAAGTGAACACTTTTTCTTCAACGTTCTTCGGTAACGGATCAATATCTGGCTAGTTTTGAAAATAAATTCTTCTAATCGAAATTTATGGATCCCTGCTGAGTAATGTTAAATAAATAAAGTGCTTCAGTCTGTGCGCCTGTTTTACTAGGATTAACAGAGAAGCATTGGAGAATAAGCCTGGATTGGAGAGTTTAAGTCATGATGATATTAATTGCACTTCATTCCTTCCAACTTCTTGGGATTATGATGCCTTTTAACAAAACTCAGTATATGGACAAGTGAGTTATGTCACACAATTATAGGTGGACTCTCAGCATTTGCAAAAAAATTCAAGGGACCCAAAAATTGTAGAGGATTGCAGAGTTGCCAATATAGGGAACTTTGCAAAATGCCCAGAGAGAATCTGATGCTGGAACAGCTGGGAGAATTGTTGTGGTTCCTCCCACAACAAATTTGAAAAAATTGAATAAACTGGCTCACACTACAAAATTGTGCCCCACTTTCCTGCTTTTTTTAGTGTTTGTCCATGAAAACGTTGGCTTGCCCATGGTACAGTATACAGTAATTTTTCTTGGAACTTTGTGCTGAAACAAATGGTGCAATATTTGAGGCACCATTACAGTATATTGCATGCTTGCCTAACTTAGTTGTGCCGTCAGTTTCTTCTCTGAGATCATTCGAAATTCTGAGATTGTTCAGAAATTCTGCTGATTACTTTCTGCAGTTTAAATATAACTTGGATGTTGGTGCGCGGCTCACAAATATCTTACAATTTCGGTTCAACCACGCAAACGTATGTGGCCGGACAGGTTCGCGTGCTGCACCTTTCACAAATATTTCCACTGGTGATGCGCGGAAAATTTGCTGAATCGTAGTGCGTCAGGCTCGAGGATTTTGTACTTATGTGCAGGTCGAGTCGATTAATTCTCGTTTAATGTTGATTTCCGAAAGGTGAAGTGATTGATATTGCAGAGGTCATGAAGTGTTGTATTGGGGAGTTGCACTTGCATAGCAGGCCACTGATAGTGTGAGGCTTCGGAACGTATGTTAATCTGTTTCTTCCCGGCGAATGCGCTCATCCGCGTTTCGCTTTAAAGGAGAATCTGTGGAGGTTATTCGTCGCAAGATGAAATTTTTGACGATGGCCCTATTTCATTGATGAGATAATGTACGCCGTGCGTTCTAAATCGTCATTGCTCCTTATTTCCGCAGATGTCTTGTAAAATTCGTGGCTAACTCTCTATCTCTTGTCCCTGATTCTGCCGCTTAATTTAGTCATCAATGAAGCTGCGGATACGGTGTATCCGTTGTAGCTATCGAAAATACTTTCCGTGAGCGAATGAAGAGGCGCTCGACCTATTTTTAGCATTCAAAATGACGTCGCCAGATCGCTTTGATGCTGACGACTACGAGTCTCTTCCGACAGAGAGAGTTTCGGTGCACATGATTGCCGGAGCTTTCGCAGGAATCATGGAGCACTGTGTCATGTTCCCTGTGGATTCGGTGAAGGTGAGTCTTCCATCAAATGTGAACTTGATATATATTACTGTACACATCTGCCCCCGTCTCAATTCAATGCTCAACCTTGTCAAAATTCACTTAGCGTAATGAAGTAACCGTATTTATGCGTATCCGATGCGATAGGTGCTGAGATCCACTTTCATTGCCTGTGCTTGTAAAGGAATCAGATCGTGGTGCTAGTTTTCTCTTGAAGATTTTACGAGATTCCTTACGGAACATTTGACTGTACATTTTAACAGAAGATACGGATTTCTTCGATTAAATTGGAGGAGTACTTTTTATTTTAACGATTGTGTTGGCCGGAAGCCATGACTTAATATCCTAATCTGAGGTGAGCCATCATTTCTTCAAACCGCGGTTATTGCGAGAAAAATACAGTAGGTGCAATTGATGTAGCATTGAAATGTGAAGAGCTACTGTTGTGATGGAAGAACTGAGAAGGGCAGCTCAAACAAGCGTGAACCTTACCTAGTGTTGAAATACAGCAATGTGTGTCGTATTGTGTTCAGACGCGGATGCAGAGCTTATGCAAGCCTTCCTGCGCGGAGAATTTCCGAACAGGTGTATTCGAGAATCTCTTTTACATCATGCGAACGGAAGGCGTGTTCAGACCTGTTCGCGGCATCTCCGCGACTGTGTGGGGCTCTGGCCCGGCTCATGCCATGTACTTTGCCAGCTACGAGTACCTCAAGACCACGCTGTCACGCGGGACCAACAAGCACCACAACCACTATGCCCACGCTGCAGCGGGTTGCATTTCAACCCTGCTTCACGACGCAGTCATGACCCCGGCGGACGTGGTGAAGCAACGAATGCAAATGTGCAACTCGCCGTACAAACACGCCTTGGGAGCCGTGAAAGACATCTATCGAAGAGAAGGCGCTGGTGCCTTTTTCCGTGCCTACCCGGTGCAGCTGAGCATGAACGTGCCATTCCACAGCACCCACTTCACGGTGTACGAGTTTCTGCAAAACCTGACGAACCCGGAGCGAAGGTACTATCCCGCGGCGCATTGCGTGTCCGGTGCTGTGGCTGGTGCCACTGCGGCGGCCATTACGACTCCATTGGACGTGTGTAAGACTCTGTTGAATACGCAAGAGGCCGGAGTGCTTCGGGAGATGGATCAGACCCGGATCGTGGGCATGGCGAATGCGTTCAAGATGGTGTATCGGATCGGCGGGTTGTCGGGGTATTTCCAGGGGCTTCGGGCGCGGGTCATCTATCAAATGCCGTCTACGGCCATTGCGTGGTCCGTGTACGAGTTTTTCAAGCACCACTTGTACGCCACGGATCAGACTCCGTTGCTCGAGTCGATGGTGGGCTGGGAGACTGTGACTCCGCTCGAAGATGAATGGACCTCGCGACAGCTCAAGTGTAAGCCCGTGCCTGTGTAGCGGTCTGACTGGCTTCGTCTCGGGAATCCGATCACACCATGATTTTAAAGACATTCGACTTGTTAGTGCATACAGTACTGTGCTGAAATGATTGGAATAGCTTTGATGTTCTGTATTACAGTTGAACCTCTCTAACCCGAACTTGCGTGTGTCGATTTTTTGTTTTCAAGTTCCGGTCTGAATTCCCGTAAACAATGCATTAAAAACCAGCGTAACTCGAAGGCTTTCCCTCCCAAGCATTCATAACACGAATTTTTTGGAGTCTCTTCGATATTATTTAAAATCAAATTTTTCTTGCCTGATTTCATTATTTCTATATCAGGGAAGAGAAAAGGAATAGAAACCTAAATTAGATGCGGTGTGAAGGGAAGTAAAAGACTAATCGTGCAAATGAATCCTTGCATCCAAGTTGAGCATCCTGTCAACTCATTTGAAGGGCAATTTAAGGCCTAGAATATCACCAATTACACTTCTCTGTATTTCTTCTTCCTTTCCCTCAACACAAGTGCATGTTTCGGCAACTCGAAACCTCCCTAACTCGATTCTTTTGCTGGTCCATGTGGAGTTCGACTTGAAGAGGTTCGACTGTAGTACGTGACCAATCCGAAAAGCCTTGATTTAGTGCGTGACCGACCGAACTGATGAGCTTTGGCGCTTCAGATACGTGTTCAACGCTTTGAAGTGTGATCATATTTAAATTAAAAGATTTGTCATTTCAGTCAGCTTTCTCCGTTTAGAAATCTTGACCCAAGGCTAGGTTGCATACTGCATTTTGATTATCTAATTCCACTGATCCTCAACTATTTCAGCCGACCACAGTAGAATGGAAGCAGCTCACTTCACCGAACTTCAGTCGACATTTCATTTATAACGAGCCATGAAGAATGTTTCGATCGTCTAATGTGAGGAACAAAGTGAATAAATTGTAGAGCCCACGAAAAAAAAAAAACACGCCGTATGATACCAGTGATGAGAAAAAGAGGTGATCCACTGTTTCGAGCATGTGCAGAGGTTGAGGAGCATTATGGAAGGGAGCCAGAAACTCAATCGGTCTCTGTTCCGAAGGTCTGTCACGTACTACAATACATTAAAAGCATTGCTAACTTTGGTGAAACCCTTCAACTGCACGCATGTCTCTAGCCGTATGAGTTCGTTTCGTATTTCTTTGAGTAGACTTCTTTATTGAAGTCCTTTATGTGAAAAGACAGGAAATCTGAAATTTTTTTGTTGGAGTTTGTGGCCAGTTTTCTGCGACGATTTATTTCCAAAAGATGTAGCACGGTTGTGTTTTTTAAGAAAGCCGTCTCATTCCATTGCTTCTATACTGGTTCACAAAAAAAAAATATGCACGTAATGTTGTCGATTCATCTGAAATGCTTTGGAAGCTTGAAAGTTGCCACATTCCATCCGTGGCGTAGTTAATGAGGTAGTGCTGATGAGAAATATTGGAGTATCAGTTATTAATTGGGTAACATTATGTTTATCTTCCGATGGATTGGGATTTCGAGAGGGTTTCAGATCAAATCCCTTGAAGCATTGTGGGTTCCTATATAGCCGCTAACCCGAGTCTCCTTCTACTATCCGAAAGGTTATCTGCTATCGAACCAATTCGGAATGATCAAGTTGAATCGTCTGTGGTTGACGATTTAAGGCAACGTTAAAAGCAAGTGAAATCATTGTACTGTATTGTGGTTTCTGCGTATGCACTAGATATGAAAAGATTGAAGAAAATCTGAAATCTCGAAATGAATAGCCATTATAAGTTTTGAACTACCGTATTTACTCGAGGACCACGTGCCGTCAAGCAAGATATTTTCCCGAATATTCACCCCAAAAAAGTATTAAATTGAAATATTTCAAAAGTAAAAGGCACCCAAAATTGAAGTTGAGCGCGAATTCAAGCTGAATTCCGTTATTTTTCAATAAAGATCCCGTCATAATCAAATGTGACACGCACGTGAACTTCTAAAAATTTTTTTTAATCCCCTCCCTGGACGCGCAACGCTTTTTTCCTCTGAATTTTGAAGTGCATGTGGTACTCCAGTAAATACGGCACTTTTTTGTGGCAAAACTTCGGGGAAAAGCAAGATAACAGACCAGTGTTCATGAATTTCTTGGAAGTTTTCTACTGTGAAACATTATTTTTGGGTCTGTTTAGAAAGGTGTGTTGTTCCTTTTTCGAAACTAAACCCTGTTGTTCAGCATTTAAGTGCCATCCGGTTGACTCACAATTCAAGGTGCGAAGATTTTGGTTTTATGACTTTCAGTTTGGTTGGTAGGGTTTCAACTGCGTCTAATATTGAAAAGGAGCGTGGGGAAGGTTTAACAAGGGAACTAATGAGGATATTGAAGCGTTTGAAAAGTGACGAACGCATATTGAGAGGCTGGAAAAAATATTTTAATCCTTCAGTTTGGGTTTCGGTTTGGTTTTTGACCATGTTCCAAGTTTTTTTTTTTTTCGTGGGGTGATTCTTATTTCCGGGGGAAGCCATTTTGACTAATGCACAATGCGGTTTTTTTCGCGATGAGCTGTGATGCCTGAGTGCCCTCGTTTCTGTTCTAGGATGAACCTTTTTTTTAGGACTGCGGTGCAATAGGGAGGAAGAGGGCCATGTGAAATGCTCTGTTCCTTGAAGGCACCGACGGTGGCTTTTGATTTTTTTGCTAAGAAAGAAAAAAGAAGAATTTTTGCAATACTGCGACCTGCTGGGTTCCCGTGGAAACTGAAGGCCGATGTTGCGTCTTTTCGCGTTGTTTTTTTTTTTTCTGCAGTGAAACGGGACGAAGGCTTAGTTGCATCGCGGTCTGATATCAGCGGATACCGAAGTAAAAAAAAAAAAAAAGTGAGGAAAAAGTTTTGTGATGTGGCGGAAGAAAAAAGGAAGAGAAAAAAGCTCCTGAGCGCTTCCGGAGAGATATCGTGGACGAAGTTATTCATCGCTCGTTTCACAAAAAATTTCTTATTTTTTTAAAATTCATAATCTAGGTGTTCCTATTGTTGAGTTCCTTCTTTAAAAAAAGTGAGGTGTTGTGATGGCGTCTTTGACTCCGCCTGCTGTCAGTGTTTCCCCGTTGATCAAGGTGATGTGTTTTTAAACGTAATCTTGAGTTTCGTGTGATTGCTATAATTTTTTCTTCTTTTTTTTTCTGCGTTTCAAGACTGCGAGATGGGGATTGTTAATCCTAGGAATCACTTACGGTTATAAGCACAATAGGACTCTGGCAGCCCGGGAAGACAAGTTGAGAGAGGAAGAGGCCAAGAGGAAGGTGATCAGAGATCAGCAGTTGGCTGCTGAGAAAGGCCGACTAGCGAAAGGTGAGTGCATTCTGTTCGGAACTGGATCCCATTAATTTAAATGTGTATCTTACTCGGGAGTAGGAAAAGTCAGCAAAATGTTCTTTTGATGAAAACCACGAAGTGTCGAAAGACTTTGTTAAACGCTTGCGTAAAAAAGAGGAATGCAAGAACACTTCGTTCCTCGTGATTTCAGAAGAAAATGCTCTGACTTGAATTAAGGGCCTACGCATTTCCTGAAGAGATGTTCGCTTTTTTGTTGTTGTTAAAATAATTTATGGAATTTTGATCACAGGTGGACTCTCTCTACCACGATTTTTAAATCTGAGATTCTCTCCGCATGTTACAAGAGGACTCTCTCTCAAAAATCAAATTAAAGTTACTAGAAAATAAAATTTTTGAAGAGAACCCCTAACACTTGAGAGAACCATATGGGACCAAAAATTAATCAGTCATACAGAATTTTTTTTAGTAGACAACATCTTTTTACAGGGAGTTCACCTGTGAAGGTATTCTCTACAATGAAGTTCTTGCTACAATGAATTTCTTTCTGGTCCCTTAAATTTTTTTGTAAGGAGAGTCCATCTGGAATCACTCAACAAACATGTTATGTAGATGTGCACCTCCTACAACAAAATTCAAGGGATCAGGAAAATCCATTGTAGAGAGACTTTTGTATTGTAGAACCACTATAAAATGTGGAGAGAATCCCGTACAAACACAATAAAAAAATGAAAAAAAATGTTACAAGAGATATATTTACAAGTTGTTCAAAGACTCCATTTTTAATGAAAATTACATCATTTCAAGCGCAACAGTAATGCTTTTTTTGTAGAGATAGTCCGCTAATTTGATTGCTCAATATGTATGTTCAATGAGATCACGGCACTTTGTATCTAAAAGCATTAAAAGGAAGCCCCACTGTATAGAAATTCTGCCATTCATCATGTTCAAACTGTGATGCTTGGGTAATGAAAAAGAAGCTCATTCACTTTAATTTTTTCTCCCGATCCCCATAGCTGAAATGGACGAGATCGGGAAACAAGCTGGTATTTTGGATTTGGCGAAGCAGGCGGGAATCCGAGAGTGAGAATGGAATCATCATTCAGCGGGTGTTGCAATATCGCCGTGTGAATCCGAGTGTATGAAGTTGTAGTGTTCCGTGCGCCGAAGAAGCTGCGCCGCGTTTCTGTCGAAATTAAATTTACTATTAGCCATTTTGCTGCGAACGGATGTCATTTTGATCAGCTTTCTCCATGTGGAAATCTTGACCCAAGGCAAGGTTTTTATAAAGCAGGTGTTGGTTTTTTTTTTGTATCAGACGTGAGCCTGACACGTTTGTTGAAGTGGCATTTTGGACGGTCAATTTTTTTAAAAATTTCGTTTAATTATTACCGTACATGATGAAGGGATTTTCTGTCCCGTGAAGTGGAATTTGTTGGGTGTCCCCTTTTTCAGAGTCAGGCTTTTCCAAATAAGTACGAGATCAACATCAGGGACGTGAAGCGAGCCTTTGTTGGCAATGGACTTCGTCAAATTACAGTATACAGCGCTGTATCGACCTCGGTTTTACGCATTGATTCACATTTTTGGAAACCTTTGCATTCAGCTTTAATAATACAGTATCCAAAATCTCTGAGATCAGTTCAAGGTGAACCTCAATAACTCAAACCTCCCTGAGTCAAAAATCCCCTTAAGTCCAAATTTTTTTTAGATCCTTTCTAAATTCCCTTAGAACTAATGCATTTAAAACCTCCCTAAGTCAAAGGCTTTTCCACTCATACCTGCGTAATTCATATTTTCTGTGGCCTGTTGGCTTTTAATTTCTTGACACAAAAAAGAAAAAAAGCAATAAACAACAGAAATTGATTTGTTTTAAAAGGAGGTGAGAGTCTTGATTGGGAAATGAACCCTGCTTCCAAGTTCAGGATTCTTTCAACTCATTTAAGAAGTAATTTCAGCCTCAGAATATCACAAATTTACAATTTTGAGCAATTTTTCTAAGTTTCCCAGAACAAAATGGGCTTTGTATTGTAGCTCAATTCAAAACCTCCTCAAGTCGAATTTTTTTGCTGGTCCCTTGAAGTTTGACTAAGAGAGGTTCCAGTACCAAAATCAGTTCAATTTGAAACCTGACTTTGAGATATGGGACAGTCCTATTCCATTATTTGTCAGTGTTTGAAACTTGAGGAATTTTAAATGGTATAATGACTCTCTCCCAGTGGCGTTATGCTGTACTGTATATGTACATAAGGTCTCCGTTTGAAGGAAATTGTGCGGAATTTCTGTTCATTTACAATACTGTATTTATGCATTTTCTTCTGCGTAAGGCTTTGATCGAAAAATTTCTTTCAAACGGATGATCGCTGTGCGAGAAATCGCCGTTAGAGCCACACACGGCAATACACAAGTGCCAGTTGTTGCCTGTCATAAAGAAATGTGTCAACGCTGCATATCGCAGCATATGAACAGTTGGTGCTCTTATGCGTCGTTACAAATGGACATGCTGTGGAACTGACGCATAACAAGTGTCACGCCATGTAAAAAATACTGCGGTGAATCGGGGAAAAAAAAGGAAAGTTTATCTGCCAACTTCACAATATGTGTACCATACTGTGGTTGTACACAGTACAGTATTTCTAAACAAGTGAAAGGGAATTCAAATTTTAGGGATAATTTCAATTCAGAGGTTTCATAGGAAATCTGTCTCATGAAGATTTTATATTGTTTGTTTGCTCTCCCTTTTTATAGCATACGTTTCATTCCCTTTGAATGAACAAGATAATTTATTGGAGAATGACGCATTATTTGATTCAGGAAATCCCACAAGACATCACTTTTTCAAATGTATATTAGGGAATAATATTGGAATTACCATGAACAGATTTTGGATTTCTTGCAAGTTTCCATGAGGCTCTCACAATGATGTCCAACATACAGCATTCAGGCCAGATCTGACCCACATGGAATTTACATCCATCTGTGGGTCCTTCCCTTCAATTTACAAGGTGGCAGTCTTCAAAATATATACAGTACTATATTGAAAGATGAATTTTAAAATTCAAAATGTAGCTTAACTCCTCAAGGCTATGACTGAAATTCAAGGCAAAGCTCTCCATTTGGTAGCAGATACTTCGGAACCTCACAAACTATTGTCTATTGTGGCCCTCAAGGGCTCTCCCAGTATGTGTCCCATGGCCACACAAAAATGTATTACTGTGGCCCTTGGCCACAATCCGACTTGGACAGCTAGAGCAAAAAATGCATAAAATCTCGTCAAAATATTCATTTCTGCTCATATGTGACCCCAAAGAATAAATACAATTCAATGCAATTGATTCGCTCGCATCAGTAAATAGTGCACCTAATAAAGTCCAACGACAGAATGTTGTTGGTGGGATATTTCATATGGAACATGATTAAAAGCCATAATGCTCAGCTGCTGCTGTCTCCCGGACTTCTTCCGTGGTTTCAAGAAAACTTGCCCTGAAACGAGGTCAAGATTTTTAAAAGGGAACATGCTCTCAATACAGTAGTGGCCATGGCTTCCAAAAAAAAAGAAATAAATAATTCGTTATAACGAGGTTCTAACGCGAACCTGGGAATATCTCCTTCAAACTGTCCGTGATCAGTATGAGGTGCATGATGGTGAAAACCATTCCGATCTTCTCCAGCAATGGTCCCCACCCGATGGTGTACCAGCCCACGGATTGAAACATGTCTCCAGAGTTGTCTGCAAATAATGGCAGGACATGCACATACCTCAGGTCAGCGTCTTCTTCCGATAGGAATATGGACGTGTTGAGAAGCGTCCACATGGAGCCTTTCAACAATTGAATCGGCAGGATTGGAGCCTTCCTCAGAGTCTGATAGAGATACACGGCACTCCCAATGCAGATTGCTCCAGTCTTGGCAAAGAACCCCACAATGAGGAACACCACTGTTTTTGAAAGTACCATCCTGCACATAATGTACAGTACAGTGGACCCCTTGTTATAATAATCCAGATATAGGTTCCAGGCAAAAGTTTGTTAACCAACAAGTTTCTTAATTAAATTTGATTGTCCCATAGACTTCAACAGAGAACCAATTACTCCATTGGTGACACCTAAAATACAATAGATGATTTTTTTAAATGCAAGACAAATATCTGATCAGGATGAGTTACTGTTGACAGCATCCTGTGTAAAGTGTTTCATGAAGTGTTTTGTATGTAGGGTTGGATGGAAGTACAGTACAGTATGACTATATGAAAACAACACTGAAAATGGTTAACATCCAGAAAAACATTCACATATGAGTAGGAAACTGACACAATCAGACAAAGAAATGTTAATTTTACAATGCAATAACTATGAAGAACAAATTCAGCAGTTGGGCAGTGGAAACAACTAAAAAATAAATATATTTGAAAGTAATTTTGTCCACAGCTTCTCTTCGCAGTACAATACATTTAGTGGACTGATGAAATACTGTACTGCACAATATGTCATGTCAGAGTATGAGTAATTAGTGAACCATGTACAAGATTTCAAGACAAGACTGGGCAAACCTGTTTCTGCTTTGCCCTGATCAGAAAAAGATTCCCAAAGCTTTGACCAAAAAATTATGTGAGATGTTGAGTAATTTTTGGCCAAATATGTGAGTTTATTTGATTTCTCCCCCATGATGAAATTTGTAATCAAATGTTATGATAAGGTCTTTAGATGAGGGGGAGGCAGAAGATCCATGCATAAATCAACTCAGAACTACTCTAACCTGGCCTACGTAAGTAAACTACAGGTATTGAACTTCATATACAGAATTTCAAAAGAAAATTAGTTTTCAAACTCACCTAACTTCCTCCTTTTTATGAGAGTAAAACCAAAACACAGACACCACAGCAGAAGTGTAGTTGGGACAGAAGAAGGACACAAAGAGGAGCACTGGGTTGGCAAACATGACAGTGTATGGATTCTTGCCAGCAAAGAAAAAGTGTAAGGATGGGATGAAGAACAGGCTGTAGAGCATCATGGCAGCCAGTGTGGCAAAGAGGAAACTGGAGGAAGCAGACAAGTAGGCCAGCTCGATGGTTTGCAGTCTCCTGATGACATCAATAGAAGACACCACAGGCAGGAAGATCATGTAGACATCAGCCAATTTGACTGTGACCAGGAAGAAGGACTTCCAGACTTGTTTCATCACAAGGTCTCCAGACTCTGTGTGCTCTGCTGTGGCCTTGGCTAGAATGAAAACTGATCTTCCCACAACAACAGCCAGAACTAGAGATGTTGTGTATCTGGAGGAACATGTGATAAGTTGTTTTCAATTAAGTACAAATACATACTTTATCCATATTTATTCATGTTAGACATTGCAAAGTTCTAAGTGTTCTCAATACATACTGTACAGTGCAGTACTTTAAAATGGACTTGCTTAAGTAATAAAATTTCTTGCATCAGAGGTCCTTCTCTGTCACATTTTTATGACTACCACATGAAAATCACTCGTGGCTCAATCATTTGCTTAAATATCAGCACACTGCTCAACTCAAGTCAATTACAATTTTGTTGCCATCCAATCCTTCATTGTGTGTTGCAATAAAGTGTGTCAACACCAATAATCCCAGTCAGTTGCTGTGCGCATACCATGATCTCTTTTTTTCAGGTTAATGAATGCAGGTGTTCAGCAAACACAACTTAACTTCTCTCCCAGACTTGGTGATGAAACCTTGTCTGCATCAAATAACTCCACTCTGGTTCAAATCAAATCTTGGTTGAATAAATGGTGAAGATTGATACTGATTTTCTTTTGAAGTATTTTTCTGTGCTACTCCAAAATTTTGTGGAAAAACACTCCTTCAAAAACCCCAAGGCTGTGGATTCAACTACTGTATGACATATGTGCCAACACTTCCCTTCATTGTCCAAGAAAAATCATATCTGGATAACAGTACTTACCAACCTGCACCATGATTAAAATCCACAATTCCTGAATATAAAAAATGGTGCTTTTGGCACTTGATAATTACAGTACATTTTTTGTGACACAAATTCAAGACTAAGCACCTCAGCTGCTTCCCAATCTCTACCTCAGCTGCATTACTCAAACATAAAGCAACATTTGATTCGCTGCAGTTGAGTCTTGCCCCCTGCACAGCTCCAGTTGACAAGGTCACAGCATAAGAGGAAACCAGAGAATATGGAACATATTTTTGAATCAAATTGTTGAGCCAGTCCTGGCCATTGGTAACGCCTTCAAATATTTTCCTGAAATTACAATAACAAAAATGGTCACTTACACAGCAATATATACAGGGTGGGCCAAAATAGTGAACCAATTTTTGACTATATGTCTTGGTAGCAAATATTGAGCTGAGGCAATTAAAAAAAAACAAAAGGAAAGCTTTTGTTCAATTCTCTTTCAACTGGGATGTAGTTTTATGGTTACAAGTGCCAAAGCATGGTCACAACAAGAACCATTTGAATGAAAACTTTCCACAAAGAAAAATAGTTGTCAAGCAACTCATCCTTCCAATAAGCTGGTGTTCTCAATAGTTGTTTTTTTTTTAGGGATAAATTGGGTGCAGTACCTGAGTGGGGAAATTGGTGCACACTGGGGATATGTTTGTAATTCTACACAGTGACCCTGCTGTGCACCTGAAGTGTATCAAAGTTCTTCTGTTGCACATGCATATCCCAAATGTGCACCAATTGTGTGTTCACACCAGGATTACTCAGGGTCACATTTATAAACCAATAAGTTAAGGTTACAGTTGGTGCATTTGTGTGATATACTCCTGCTATTTGTGCACCAAATGTAGCCCAGGAATGGCAGCAAAATTTTGTCTACAGAGGTGCATATGCTTGTAACCCCAGAATAGCCCATGTAAACCAATTGTGACCCAAGTGTGCACCATTTGTGGGGTCACACAAAGAATATAGCTCCTCACTTGGGTAATTTAACCAGCCAAGCTCGATTTTCTACAGAGCTACAGTCAGTCAAAAAAATTGGTTCACTTTTTTTCTTCGGCCCACCCTGCACACTTTTACATCGATTTGTCGGTCACTCGCTCGCTCGCTCACTCACTCCTCGGGTATTACGGGTACATCGGCAGCAGCCAGTCCTTTGCCAAACTCGTTCACGTTGAAGTAGAAAATGGCCCCCGTCGTCATGGAGCCCAGGATGTTGTTGATCAAAACCAAAACCAGACAGTTGAAGAGGAACGTGAACGTCTTGACTCTCCGGCCCCAGAAAAAGTAAGGTACGGACGACCAAATGATGCCCGTCACCAGCCAAGACGACAAGTGACTGCTCAGGGTTTGCATGATGTCCAGGGCTGGGATTTTGTCGTCGAACGTGGACAGACCGATGACACAGCCAATCACTAGACCCACCAACAGCATGTATCTACATAATGGGTAAAAAATAAATTAAAAAATAGGCAAGAAACACGTGGAATTTATCTTGAAATTGTCCTCGAAATCAATGGCTATGAAAAAAAAAAAATTGATCGGCTTTTTTTAAAATCGAAAATAGACGAAGTTTTCATCCAGAAAATGCAATAAAAATGAATAAGCACTCCGTTTTGTCGGCAAGAAAATTTCCAGAAAACAAATTGTCTCACGAATACACGATTAAATTTTCAAAGTCACATGCAAATAAAATACCAACGATATATTGACTCTCTTCCTGAGCGATTTCCCCGAAAATTGTCAAACGTCAAAATTAAAAAAAAAATGAATAAGGAAGCAGTTTAATACCAACTTTCAATAAAAAGCTCTCCGATTTCACCGCAAATTTCTAAAAAATCCTCGCAATAATAATTCTTGGCAAATTTTTCACAATACTGTCCTTTTACGACGTTATTTCTGGTGACGTCCCAAAAAATAACGAACGCTTGAATTATTCTACCTGCAAAAACATAAATAATTCGAAACTAGTCCAATATAACAACTTATTTTCTGAAGTAATTAAAAAATGAGATTCCAAGCCCGAGACTCAAAAAGTAATTTTTGAAAAGCCTTGCGTCTGCGATTTTACTCGTCGAATCAAAAACAAAATGTGAAACTGGAAGAAAAATCTGATCGACTTTAAAAAATATCCGTACACACAGATGGACTCTTCGAACTCACAGCAAAAAAGTTCAAGTGACGGAAAACATTCGTTGTAGAGAAAATATGTTCGGAGAAACCCTACAACATAAGAACCCTGCCACAAAAAAATGGTTCCACAGAGAAAATCGGTTTAGAGAATATAGTTGTTGAGAGTACATAACTATAAATAATAATAATAATAATACAACAAAATCTCGTCATTTCAAATAATTTCAATGCAAAAAAGTGCAGCTCACAACGGATCAGGTTTTAGATCACGGCATTTCAGAGTCTTCACTACGATTTTTTCCCACTTGTTATTAATGCTTAAAAATTAATTTTAAAATGTTGTTCCTTAAGAAAGAAAAAAAAATACCAACCTGTCCTTGAAGCCGGAAAGAAAAATCAGAAATTTCTTTGGATCAAATCTGTTGGCCTTCTCGTCGTCATCATCATAATAGGAGCCAAGAGCGAGGAACAAAGGTTGGCCTCCTCCTCCTCCAGCTGGATTTTTCTTGATCCACTGTTTCTTGGTGCTGGAAAAATGAATTTTATTTTATTTCTTATATAGATGATAGCTTCAAGCATGCAACATAATGTAATCTAGCCAAGATTATCAGGGAAGGGAAATCACATCTTCTGCACAGTTCTTCAAAAATGCAGCACTGACTCTGAGGGATTAGAGTTGGACTTGGTACAGTTCAGAGAGTTCATATTCCCTTTAAACAGGGTTTAGGAAAAAATTAAATACATCTAGAGTAAATACATATTTTAGAGTATTTCAATGGAACTTGAACACTAATCACCATGAAATCCTTGCACTTTTTCAGTAGAACTCAGAGGGACCAACAAAAAATTGAATTGAGGAAATCAGCAATTTTTCTTGCAGACATGTTAGAAGGTAAAATTCTTGATCTTCACATGGGCCTTCCAAGGTCAGCATCTGGTAAATTAGTTGACCAGATGCGGTACATTCGCCCGATCAGTCTTTTGCTTCCTTTTGAAACTCATCAACTTACTTGTTTATTGCTTTTCTATTTCCTGTGTCAATGAAGTAATAGACATTAGCCTGCAGAAAATTCAAGTCAGGGAAATGTGAGCTCAGGAAAGCTTTCAAGTTATAAAGGTTTTTATTGGATTTTTTTCCAATGGCATTCAGACAGGAACTTGAAAAAAATTGACCTAGGGAGGTACTGTATTCAACTTTGAGAAATTAGTGCAATCAAGGTTCATCAGCATAGATGGATTTGAAAGGTGGCTCAGGTTAAAAACCAATGAAAATCCCCCTGATCATATACCCAGCATGCACATAATTATTCTTTTGGCAACAGAACTAATTTAAAATGACCAGGAACAATTATTAAATACTTTGGAAAGTATGACCCTAGGTTAAATGCCAGATGATGCAATTGATCATGGCCCTAGTATGTAAACCAGTGTTCCCCAACCTTTTTGGCCAGCTGACTGAAAAATTTCCACAAAAAATTTACAGAACAGCAAATTCAAAAAAAAAAAAAATTTCAGCAGACTGGCAAAGTTTCATGAAATTCTTGCAGACTCACCATAGTTTTGCTTTAATGTTATTCGGCAGGTATTTACAAGAAAGATTCAGCCAAGAATGTCATCAAACAATAAGAAAGTTGGGCTTGGAAAAAAGACTTCTCAGGATGAATTTATTTCAGCAGGTGAAAATGTAACTGAAGCGTTACTAGGAGAAAAGCCAACTTTTGTATTCATCAGATAATTCAACTGCAATTGTCCTTATGAAATTTTAGGTAAAGAGAACAGAGTTCATCCTGAGTTTTGATACATTGGGAACAATGGGCTATACAACTGTTGCATTGAGCAGTAGGATGAGATTGTACCATGGACCTCGAACACTTAACCAGCTTCAATTACAGTGAGACCCCCACATGCTGACACCTTGACATATGGACAATTTGACATAGGGGCACTTTATATTCCCATTAAAAATTACTAAAAAGGCCTAACCTAAGGACACTGACTCAACATACAGACATTGTGTGATAAAATTGCAAATAAGTTTCAGGCCAAATTACAAGAAACAGATATTTCCAACTGAATTGATGTAAAAAAGTTCTTAGGCATTTCTCTCATCTATGTACCATCCATTTAGCTTATTTATAAAATTTACCTCCAGCATAGGGGGCTTCCTCCTCTCTTTTACACTTGAATGTTATTTTTACGGAGAAGGCCAACATTTATATGTACTGCAATGTACATAGGTATCAGTATTCATTGCTCCAAGCAATCTTGTGTTGAAAGTTATTCATTGAATCTGTTTCAATTGGGAGACAATTTTTCCATAGAATTATGATGAGTATTTTGTCCATAAAACACCAATGAAAACTTATATAATGTAAGTCTAAGGGTAGAGATTCAACTTAGGGACACTCTTGATGCACCAATAATGTTTGCATCTTATTGGGGTCTCACTGAATTCATGTTTTTAAAATTCTCTGCTCACATGTTATTGAAATGCCCATCGATGTGTGGCTATGATTGGCACCCAAGCTCATAAAAAAAAGGGTACTTTCCTGTTATCTCTGTACCTACTTTCCTGTTGTCTCTGTACCTTCCCTCTGACCAATTTAACCTGACCTAGCCTAACTTCACCCAACCGCCTCCCAAAATCAGTTTCTGATTTCTTTGGGTTTCTGCTGAAATTGATTTTGAAACTGATTTTCCCCAAAATCAGTTTCTGATTTCTTTGGGTTTCTGCTGAAACTGATTTTGGGAGGCAGTTAGGTAAAGTTAGGTCAGGTCAGGTTATGTTAATTAAAAGATATTTGTAACTAACATAACCTGACCTAACCTAACTTTACCTAACTGCCTTCCAAAATCAGTTTCAGCAGAATGCGGAAAAATAAAATTCAGTTTCTGGTAGGTCGTTGTGATTATGAACTTGTCCTAAAGATTTGTCTGGATGCTAGTGCGGTCTAGGAATGAGGTACAGAGATAACAGGAAAGCACCAAAAAAAGCAATACACTTTTTTTTTTTTCAAAAATCAGGAAACAGTCCGGACACCAGACCTGAAATCGGATTCATCACTGGGACTGGACTTGTCATCAGACTCGTCATCGTCATCCGACCGCTGCAGCTTCGAGTCTTCCCTGTGCAACATCAGCGGGTCGCCGTCCATGGCTTGGGCGGCTGCCGCCACCCCGGCAGCGGCGTCCGAGACCGCCGGCGGACTTCCAATCTGCTGCCCGGCCAACTGCTGCATGGGCCTCACCCGCTTCAGGTTCGTCGGGTCCCCGACAGTGTGGATGGACGCCATGACGGCGGCCTGCTTCTGGTTCAAATCGGTTTGTTGGAGTTGCAGCTGATGCCGCTGGAGTTTTTGCAGCACTTGCCGGTGTTGGGCGGCGGGGGCGGTCGAGGCGGCGCTGCCTGGCCCGAAAAAGCTGGGTTGGTTCGTTTTCGCCATTTCCGGCACGGACTTGACGCGTCGCAACAGTGACGGGGTCCAATTGATTTTGCTCACGCGATCGGCTGAGGATCGCATGCTCTTCCAACTTGATTATTCGCTCAAAATTGAACAACAGTGAAATAAAAAGAAATACTGTATATACTTCACGTGCGGAAGGGGGATGTAATGCGGTGGAGATGGATGAAGTTGCTTTCGTGACGATGGCCTTCAGCAGGTTTTTCTGATCGCAGAAACAAAAAGCAAATTATTCAATGAAGTATCACCTTAAATAACGCAATTTCTGGACCAGTCGTACCAGCATGTATTGAATTATTCAATGATTCAAAAGTAATGCAACATCTAGACCAGTATACTGTACATAGCATGAAAGATTTTTTGAAAAACACACCCTTGAACAGAATTCATTCCAAGAATTTCCCGATTTCCAATAAGCAAAATGAGAAAATCCTAAGATTGCAGGAGGATTTCTTAACCTTGTTGCTTCTTTTCTCCACAAAAAATACCAGTTTTTACAGAATTGTAAATTAATTTTGCTGACAGAATTTCCAATAATACAGTAATGTATTCACTAAAGTATCACACACCCTCAAGTAAGATGTGCACCATGGTTTTTTTTCTAGAATTCTTGTAAAATTGTATCCCTGAGTAAGACCATTTTTAGTGACTCCAAAACCACAATATTTCAAAAATAAGAACACCCAAATTTTAATTTGGAAATGTATTGAACTAATTTTCAATTGTTTCTGCTAAAATAAATTTGTTTGTTTAAATTGATCCCATTAGAACCAAGTATAATGCACAACTTCAAAATCTTTTTGAAAAATGTATACCCACCAATGATGCGCACCCCCATTTCTACTCTCAATTTGAGAAAAAAGAAAACGGGTTACTTGATCAAGTAAAGTACAAATTTTTCTCTTTTTCAACTAGATTACACGGAATAGAACAGCTGCAAAGATTTTCAGCATTTCCTCATTATTTCACCCTGAAAATATAGTGTGATCATCAAAACTGCAAGAAACATGAGAAATCAAATTCAATTACAACATACAAATCAAGGTTTTTGAAAGACGACTGAATAATTCTTCCACTTGCCAAAAATTGACTCTTCCTTCTCTTTCAAGACTGTCCAGCTTTTCCCATAGGTACTAATGCCTGATATCCTAAACTTTTCCAAGCACCTCTGAACGAGGTACAGTACCGTACGAATAAGACAAGTTTTTTATCATTCCTGAATGTTGCACACAGTAAAACAAGCTGCAAACAAGAATATTCAATTAAAATGGTTCCTCAAGGAAAAAAAATCAAAGGATGTAGCGAATTTTAGACAAGCTCCCCACACTATGGAACAATTCATCTGCCTTTCTGAATTGAGAGGACGGTTGTAAAATACATGATCACGGTAGAGTACAGAAGTGCTGGTTTAATAAATTAATTTTGAATTCAGAACTTAGAAACTTATAATTTTCACAGGAGAGCCTTTTCTAAATACTGCATAATCTAGAGGATTCCAGAGGAACGAAAGTTTCAGAGTCGAGTGACGAGTTAGAGGGATATACAAGCTACAATCAAGCTATTAAAAAAATGAAATCAAAAAGAGGAAGAAAATGGTGTCCCGTGAACAAAACAACTGCATTTTTTTTCAATCCAGTTGACACGGGATTTCATCCAGTCTTCCTCTTCTTCTTCGAGTCTTTCTCCTTCACTGTCTCTTCTTCATCTGTCTCGTCATCTTCTACTGCTTCTTCTTTGCCATTCTTCTCCTCTTCCTCAACCTCCTCGTCAAATTTCCGCTTCACAGTCGATCCCTGCACGTCCGTCTTCTCCGCCTTCAACTTTCTGAGTTTGCAGACGAAAAACCCGTCCATGTTGTGCGTGTGCGGGTAAAAGCGTTTAGACTTGGACAACGATGGATGGAATCGCAACCCGCGGAACCGGGTGAAGCCCGCGGTGCCGAAATTGAGACCGCTTTCCACCACTTCCACACCGGGCCGCTTCGTCAGGGCCTGTGTCACCACGAACTCGTTCTCTTCCGGCTACACGAAGACACAAGAGAAAACACGACATTCAAATACTGTTCAACGACACAGACACAAGGTTACATAAATGAAATTAGAAAACATTTGTTTCCATCAACTTGGATATTTCCTCCCTCAGAAGAATCAATCAAAGCCTTTGAACCAGAATTTCTGCTGCTCAGCTTTTGCCCTTGGCAAGACACTAACGCCATCCATGACTTGAAACTTTGGAACGATATTACACCATCAAAAATACTCGGCCATCAACTCAAAACTAATATTTCAAGTTCTTCCCATCATTCACTTTCTCAATCCATTTAAACTCTAATAAAGATGCTTGTTTAAAAATAAACCATAAAACCTTGTAAAAACAAAATCCTAGTTACAGTGACAATATGAGATTCATGGTTCTCAGCTCAGCTTTCAGGACTGAAATTTTTTGAGAAACAGGCAAAAATTCCTTTCAAGTGATACAACAACAGAGTCTAGATATAGTTACTATATCATAAGCTGCCAAAGAAGGATTGAAATAAACTATTAATGCATTGAACGCTTTCTTTGCTTTTAACCTTTTCTTCACTTCGGGGCTGTAGTTACTTGTCCAGACAACTTGAACGCTTTCTAAAAATAAATTGAAAAATTGAAGTCAATAAGTATTGAGCTTATGGCCAAGGTTATGCAAAATAAATATACTTCTCTATACAAAAGCAAGAGTGTGTTTTTATAAAAACCCAGTACATCCAACAACAGAGTATTCCAAACCAGCAATGAGTGCCATCAGAGTATTTGGACACTCCTTTATAGATTTGCAAGATGCGCAAGACAGGTTCATGACTGCTCATAGAACAGAAAGATAACCAGGACTGTCAGAAGGGGAATCACCAAGTGATCAGACATTTGGGACAATCCGGGCCAGTGATTTCCATAGTTACTAACCAGAGGTAGAGGAATGCACATATGGAAGTCACAATGAGAATGGGGTATTTTAAACATGTTACAGGACTCTCTCAATTATATGATACAATTTTCATTGTTTCCAATTTTTTCACGAGCTAATAGAGAAAAATGTTGAATATAAAATACAATTATCTTCTTTTCAGACTTTCCCTTCATCAATGTACTGATCTTACAGAAGCAATACACATAGGACTTACATTTATTCACAAAAAGTATGTTGCCTGAAATACAGCAATATTATTTCAAAAAATCAAACATACTTTCAATTTTTAAAAATAGCTATTTATACATTGTAAAACAGGGCTGAAAATTTCTGATAAGAGCATTATGTTCCATACTTACTGCAAATATGCTAAATTTTCTGTGCATAAAAATAAGCAGTTCAATTTTCTATTGATTTCAATGATGCGTGTAGAATGTTCCAATTTTTCTGGCAAAAATGAAAATTTATATTGCCCATGCATACATAATCAAGGCAAAACATTCTTTACACAGAAGTTATTGATTAAAATCACTTCATTTTCGAAACAATGTTCAAATGGGATAAGTACTGAGACCCAGACAAAAATTCGCTTGCACGAAAAGTTCGTAATGACAAGCTTAGTTGCAACGGAATTTCAATTTACATTGCTCAATAACTTCTTTTAAAGCCCAGTTCTTTCTCCGCAACAGCCTGCGTCTCCACAAGTACTAAATTGGTACTTACATCACCAAAAACACAGAATACTGTACAGTACAACAATTTTAAGTACTTTACCGTACCTACATTACAAGTCCTGTACAAGATGAGAAGACGAGAAAGGCTCACCATGATGGAACATGTTGAATAGACGACGACTCCGCCGACTCGGCAAACGTCGATCGCGGCCATGAGGAGATCCTTTTGAATGCTTTTGCAACGATCGATATCTTCGGAGGATTTGCTCGACTTGGCTTCCGTGTCCTTCCACAAGATACCCGTGCCGCTACAGGGGGCATCGACGAGGACCCGATGAAACCCACCGACAACCTGCAAAAGATTTACTATTTTAAGGTCATTTCGGAGAACTCGAAAATCGGGAAAACAATTTTAAATGACACACCTAAAAAAAAAAAGGTAAGAGTGAAGTTAATTTTAAGAGCATAATTCAGAACTGCGTATAATCTTTAAATGAATAACAGTTCGTAAGTTGAGAATAGCATAAACGTAATTTATGCGACGTAATCGAACGAACGACTGCCTGAGTTTAGAGATCGGCATCGAATTTCTTCGATTAAAAATTGATTCACATCAAAACTTTGGGTATTTCTTTAAAGTTAGGGCCCGAATTTCCTCGGCGCGAAATCAACTACAGTACTAGTGATGTTGGTACAGGATCATAAACTAGGCCAGGAATAACCAACGCCAATAGCCTAAACCAACTGGAATGTGATGTACCTCACAAAACAGACCATAACGACCATCTTAATCCTCGATCCCACACATGACATTTAAATTGGGAACTGACAAAATCCTGACCGGGGTGATCCCGACAACGCACATTGCCTGTCTTTCCTTGGATGGACATTCCTGTACATATAGGTAAGGTTAGATTAGGTGAGGTTAAATTCAGTTAGGTTAGGTTATGTTAAATTCAATTAGGTTAGGTTATGTTAAATTAGGTTAGGTTAGGATAGGTTAGGTCAGTTTAGGTGGGCTGTAAACCTTCTTCATCATTTGTACAGGGGAATGTCCATCCAAGGAAAGACAGGCAATGCGCGGCATTGGCATCTCCCCAATTGGGATTATGTGCGTGCCCCTTAAATCACACTATCCGTACACACAGAGAGCGACACCTAAACAATGGATTAGAAAACGGAGTTCAGGTTCAGCTTATTCTACAATCTACAGTAAAAGCTTCGATTCGTCCCACTTCAATTTCCAACGTCCAAGACTTTCTTTCCCAAAACACGATCCATCGCCTGGAATTTGTCAAGTTTTGTCTTACGGAATTAGTTCGGAATGCGTTCAATAATGTTTAGTGGGGTTAATTCTCGATTATGTTGATGAAGAAAATGAGAGTGCCGTCAGCGATTCAAGAGGACACTGTTGGTGTGAAATTTAAAAATAAAGTTGGCACTGGAAATGAAACTATTATCTCACGAAAAAAAAAAAAAACCTGAGGAACACTTGCTTTTGGCATTTGCCGGGCATCCATACTGGTGACGCAGGAATTCGTGACACCCATTCTGTGCAGGTTTCCAATCACGGCCTTCGAACGCTCTTTGCTGGCGTCATTGCAGAACAACATGCCTGAATTCTTCATGAGAGCAGCTGCAAAATATGATTACAAAAAAAGAGCAGGTTTTACTCAAGCTGGGATACAACCTTTTTTTCTTTTTCTAAAACATAAACCGAAGTTGATCAAAGACAAAGCGGAAAGAGAACCTGTTCACTCGTTCAAATGAATTAAAGTTGAACCTCAATAACTGAAACCTCTCGAAGTCGAATATTTTTCAAGTCCCTGACTCCATTCCCTCAGAAACAGTGCCCCAAAAATCTCTCCTACTCGAAATTTTGGGAGGTTTTTTGGCTATTATTATTATTTTTTGACACAGGGAAGAAAATGTAACCTGATGCGTTTGAAAGGAAATGAAAGAGTTTTTGGGCAAATGAACCCGTGTCTCCAAGTTCAGCATCCCGTCAACTCATTCAAGAAACAATTCAAGTCTCAGAATATCACCAATTACAATTTCCTGCAGTGCTCCTTTCTTTCCTCCAACAAAAATCTTTAGTTCCCAAATTCGAAATTTTTTGCTGGTCCCATGAAATCCGACTTCACCAAAATTATTCAATAAGCCTGACATCATTCCGTCAGTGTATAGAAGAAAAATCTTCACCAATATGAGTGGATTTCCCGCCGGGCGCTGCGCACATGTCCAGCACAATTTCTCCGGGCTGTGGGGCCAATGCCATGACTGGCAAGAAACTAGACGCTCCCTGAATCTGGTACCATCCAGCCAGGTACTCGGGAGTGGCACCAAGCGGTACTTGCGACTCGAAGACCACCAGACCGACCTAGATGTAAAAGAAAAACTTGTTCAACCTTCTTCATTCATGAACTGAGGAAGTGCACAAGAGAGCTAGACTCGGAAGAGGAAGTGCACGAAAGGAAAACCACCCTCGAGTTTAAATTTGAATTTAGGAATTAATCAAACATGCTCAAACAAATATCACCACGTAAGAATAACCGTAAAGCTTTCCAGATTGACACATCAAATAAAAAGAGCATCACTTCAATTTCAAAATTTTCTTCCAGCGAACTTGATGAAGACACAGCCCTCACTTTCCTGAAGTTCAAATCTTCTGTCATACTCAAGATTCAAAGGATTCTCCAGGATACGAAGTCAACTTCGAAAATCAAACAAATCCATAATAGATTCTACGTGACACTCGAAAGAAAGTTAGAAAAATCACAAAAATTCTTCAATTTTTCAAATACTAAAAGTGAAGAACAGTTTACAATTTCATGAATATGGTTTACAGTATTTCTAAATAAATAAAAAACGAAATTTTAAAAATGTAATTCGAACGGGAAAAAATCACGAGGGAATTTGAAATCCCTTTGTGCTTCTAATTTTGCATGCTTATAATAATTTTCAACAAAAATCCTTTAGTTAATAATGTATCACTGTCTATTTTTGAATCATGCTCGTTTTCTTCATTTTACCTTAAATTTTTTACGCCAGAACCAATTAGACCAAGAATTGGTCAATTTCCCATAGGTTATTATGGGAAATTGTGTCTCACTTAAGAAAGCTTTGAGCAGCAAACCAACCAGTGAAATGGATGAGGTTTGTTGCTCAAGGGTAAACTGCAATCAACAGATAACAAATAGCTCACATCAAAATTTTCACAAACTCGATCTCAGTAGCTGAGAGTCCTTGGTCTAACATCTAATTTGACGTATCGCAGTTAGAATGACGAGAAAAGGATCATCATTTTTCGTTTGCTTTTTTTTTTTTCGAAGGGCACTGAATCTTACCTTGCTCCATTCCCCAATGGGATCCAAATTCACACCACGAGCAATCAATGCACGGGCTAAATCACGACGTCGCGCTTTCAGAGTGTTGGTCCTTAGTGTTAATGGACGAGCAACTTGATTTGCTTCCAGAAACTCCAACAGCTCGGCAATGGAAAACAGGTCTATCAAACGGTGCATCAGGAACTGAAAAACAAAAAGCAAACGAATATTCAGTCACAAAATAAAAATTTTAACTCAAAAGTCCCGCTGGTCACCAAATAATCATTACTGGCAGTACGACATTTTTCAGCAGGGGCGATGTTTGCCCATTTCGACTGAGAACCCATAAAATTTAGAACAAAATTCGCTAATTTCTGTATGAAATATCTCTGAAAACCTCGACTGGTTCACGAATTTCATCATTCCTCATAATTGAACACATGAATTTCGGCCTCACAGGCCCTGTCGAAGAGCCATGCCCTCGCGACACCTACAAGAGGACCGAGGAGCTACAGTTCTTTAAATATTGTAAGAGAAATTTTCGGAAGTAGAACAAATGTCACCGCGTCAGAATACCACTTCTCTGATTCGCAAAGAAAATAAAAGAGCAGAACCACAACAAAAATCTCTCACCTGATTGTACCCATAATATCTACAACAGTCCGCAATCAAAAGCGACATGTATTCTGAACGCGTTCGTCCTTCTTCTCTTCGGCTTTTAAAATCTGCCAAAACATGAGCGATTTCCCGTATGCGATGCTGCACTGACGCCATATCCGCAGTTTTCTCTGAAATTCCGAGTTCGATTTCCTGAGCAAGCTCATCCGGTGACGGTAATTTGAAGTCCAAGTCTTCGTCTTTCGACGGCTTCGACATGTCTTGTCTTTCATCCTCGGCCAAGCGACTGGAAACATAAGACAAACATTAGATTTAGGCATTTTTACTTTTCATAAAGAACCAACGCAGGATTCAAGCATTAGCGAAATATACGATACGAAAACAAATTATATTTTTCAAAGATCCAATAAGAAAAAGAAATAAAGATATTCTATAGCTTCGATACCTTTTCTTCAACAAATACTATAATTAAATTTACGGTTACAAAATTCAAGCATACACGGGGAAAAAAGTCGCCAATCATTTCCAGATTAAATACAGATGGACTCTCTCTACAACGAAATACCAGGGACTAGTACAAAATGCGTTATAAGGTAGAGAGAATTTGATTTCAGAGAACCCATGTAAATAACGTGGGGAGAGAACCTTTTGGGACCGAAATACAAAATTCGATAAACAGAGCTAACCGTTGTAAACAAGATTGTTGCTAGAGAGAGAATCCGCCTGCATTATGATTTTTAGAAATTCTTCTGAAAATGCCTGGAACGAGGAAATCGTACATCCAATAGTGTCGTACATGGGATTGATCCTACTTTCAAATTTTTAAATTAAATTTAGATTGGAATGTATGAAAGGAATTCATTAATAATTTCCGAAAATGAACAAGCATGGATGCGCATCAACCCTCGCCTATCCACTTCATGTCAGAAAAGTTTATCTTAGCATTGAAGAGCCTATCTACAGCCTTCGAATCACAATAGTATTGATTTCTGCCTTCAAGATTAATCTCATTTCATCAATACACCCGAACATGTCATGCATGATATTGACAGTAATGTACTTTAAATTTTTAAATTATTCTTAGATTGAAATTTATAAAAGGGATTCATCATTCATAACTTCCGAAAATGGACAAGCATCAGCGTATCACCCATTATCTATCCATTTAATGTCAGGAAAGTGTATGTTCACATTGAAGATCCCACAGCCTACGAATCATAATTGTATTAATTTCTGCCCTTAACCTTGACCTTTTTTTTTTTTAATTCACGTACCAATTCAACAAAAACCTAGGTTTACTTCAGCAACATCCAGTTTAAGTAGGGATTGAAAAGCTTTGCTCTGAAGGGAAAATAGTGTTCGAGTTTGATGAAATGTATCAAGGGCTGATGCAGGAAAATATTCAACGCACTCGTCGTCTTTCTGCTTCTTCCGCAACTGTTCCGCTTGAGCTTCAATGTCATCGTCGGATTCGGAGTCATCATCTCCAACTTCGTGATCAGAATCTCCGTTTACACCTTCCATTTCCTCCTCCTCCTCTTCATCATCATCATCGTCGTCACTTTTACCGTCTTCCTCATTCTCACTGCCGCTCACTTCCTCGTCAGAGTCGAAAAGCTTCGTTCGTCCGACTTTCGAACCGTTGACGCCTTGAGGAGTGACGCCAACTGCTTCGTCTTCCTCATTGTCTGTCTCCCATTCCTCAGAATCTTCGCCGTTTTCCAACGTGCTTCTGGATTTTTCTGGACTGGAATCCGCTTCAGCTCCTTCAGACTCACTTCCTTCGGACTCATCGTCCGAATATTTCGGTCGCAAGAGCACCATGGGGATGTGTTTTCTTGGCTCTTCTCCATCGGCTGCAAAAGAAAATAATTCTTCCGCTAATGAAAGAAAGTGGAATTTTGGGTGGGCCTAATTTTTGCATCACTTTGACACTTTCGCGAGGATTCGTGTCATTAATTACAACATTACCGTATTTAAGAAAATAGAAGAACCTCCTTCCCCCTAGATTTTTCATGCACCAAATTAAAATCCCACTAATAAGCGAATTAGGCACCCACTTAATTTCCAGGAAATGGAACCAGGAACCTAAAATTTCTGACCAAACTTAGGTTCTCCACAAAAATGGAAAGATTCTGGTGTCACACAACCATTGCCCATTCCTTTCCAAAAGCGATGAAGTAAAGAAACGCTCCATTGCTAGTTGGGCCGCAAACAGGAATATTTCCTGATGAACATGCATATTTTGGCAAATTGCATAAATATGCAAATATAGGCACCCCCACTTTTGAGCTTCTACAATCGGAGGAAATGGGGGCCTAATATTTGCATAATTACGGTAATGACAATAATACTTTAATATACAATATTCCAACACAGTTATAAGTCAAATCTCCATAAGCTGAATGCCTCCCCATTTCAAATATTGGTACTTTCCATATTGGTACTTTCCTGTTATCTCTGTACCTCATTCCTAGACTGCACTACCATCCAGACAAATCTTTAGGACAAGTTCATAATCACAACAATCTACCAGAAACTGTGAATTTTATTTTTCCGCATTCTGATAGGTTAGGTCAGGTTAAATTGGTCAGAGGGAAGGTACAGAGATAACAGGAAATACCCAAATATGTTTCAAGTCCCTGTCTGAATTCCCTCAGAAACACTGCATTAAAAACCTCTTTAACTTGAAAGCATTACCCTCAAACCTCCATACCTCAAAATTTCCAGAGGCCTTTCAACTATTATTTTATTGACACAGGAAAGAGAGAAGCAATAAGAATGTATTTTGATGTGTTTTGAAAGGAAGTGAAAAAATAACTGAGCGAATAAACTTTTGCCTTGAACTTCCGCATCTTGTCACCTTGTTTAAAAACCGATTCAATACCCAGAATATCAACGATTATGATTTCCTGTAATTTCTCTGTCCTTTCCCCATCAAAAATGCTTGTTTCCGTAACTCGAAACCTCCCAAATTCGCTGGTCCCACGAAGTTACACTTGAATGGGTTTGATTGACTCTTCCATACACCAAATACATTCCTTACATGCAAAATTAAGCCAGGTGATTAGCAGTTTTCAAGGTGGATCACATCCTGCACGTTTGACATTTCAGCTTAACCTTTTTAAATAATTCACGCATAAATGTCTCGAGTCACTCCCTTCCGTTTACAAGTACAAAAATATAATATTGGCACGTACGCGAAGACGGAAGTTCATCTTCTGAGGAATCGGAAGCATCTTCAGACTCTTTTGTCACTGGTGTGGCCTTCTTCTGTTCCTTGAAAACAGCTTTCCCGGCATTTTTCTTGGCACGTTTAGCTGCTCGCTTTTTGGATCTCCGGCCGAGATTTTCAGTCGGTAAAAGCTTGTTCTTTTTGAGTTTCTCCTCTGCAAAGAGAGAAAAAAATTAAAAACTTTCATTTTTGAGCAAGTAGGAACATTTGGCAAAAGCAGACGCACCTTCGGTTAGGAGATAATGTGGTATTTGAGGAGCAGGTTGCTTTTTTCCCTTCCTACCGATTTTCTTCACTTTCTTCTGAGAAGACCAGTCCACTTTGCGACCCATCCCCAAAAATTATCACAATCGTAAAAAATGGAAACCTATTTTGAAAGAAGCGCAAAATTCTTCGCGATTCTGAAAAAAGTATTCAACGTGAAGGTTTCCAGACGAATTGTTCACTGAACAGCAAAACATTTTTGGCAGCTGATACGTTGTGCATCCATTTCCCAAATATTTTGAATATAAAATAAAAACATACAACGAGGTAAATATATGAAATTACGGAAGCCATACCAAGGAGAGCACAAACTTCGCCGCTCTCGCGTTTTTGAATAAATAATCACTCATGGGTAAACGAGGGTGAAGCTCGAAACAATGATCAGTTCCTCGATGTCAGGGTTCCATTTGCACGCATTATTTCTTCTAGCACACGAAGGTTCACACGTGCAGTACACGATCGAGTCATATTTTTCTTGCAGGACTGATTCACTGGTGATGCGAATCAAGGCATGGATCCATCCGCTTCGAAAGACTCCATCACAATACAATGGTCCTGAAGGAAAAAGAAAACTAAATCTTACAAATGCAGGAAACACTTCAGCCTACTCTTATCCGGTCTTTGGGACCACCGACAAATATGCTAACCTTATCTTGAACAGTAATTAACGAAAATTAAGCACGAATCGAAATCTCGTAGACCTGAACAGCCCAACTTCAGGGAGATCGAATGACACATGCACTTTTGAATTCTAAAAATTAATCATCTCTGAGGTTGCTTCAACACAGTCATGAATGATCAAAAAAAAATATTTACCTCGATACCCGAGAGATAATGATTTTAAAACATGAAATATGACACTCACCGAAAAATAGGTACTCTTCGTGACCGTTTTCACAAAGTAGTTTCTCTCGATCACTCCGACAAACCCCAGTATCACGCAGTATGTTTCATGGTCTCCGAAGGTTTTCATCATCTGTCAGAAGTTCGGTGGATAGATCTTGAAAAACATATTCCACGACAAATCAGTGCCACATTTGACTTACAAGATGACAACGTTGAGAATTCCGCATGACACACATGCCAGTCACAAATCGAAAATCAATTCTCAAGTCATCCTCCATTCGCATCCGGAGACCTTCCAACTCTAATTTTACCGTACATCGAACCTCACATCGGATTGTTTTCTCGGCTAACAAATCGCGAATACTGTCTCTCGTGGAGCAATTGTCTTGCAGCAATTCGCATAAAGTGTCAGGGCGATCCACAGCTACGAAAACTTCCAAACCGAGACGCACAACGCGGCGCTGGTTTTCTGGAAGGTCCGATGCAATCTTGGCGTCCAAATCCACGATTCTCACATCGTCGGCGGTTCGAGGATGAGGTAGCACAAGTTCCGGGGTTTTATGCAAGGACTCAGACAAGTATATCGAGGCTTCAGTAACTTCCAGGAAACCTTTCCGCCAACCGTGTTTCGGAGACTGCAAACTTTTCCAGAAAGCCTCGCGTGTGATTTGTTTTTCTTCGCAACGGGATGCAGGAGCTGTAACTTGCACTTTCATGGTACAGCAAAACTCTTTCGTTCTTTGTTGTACGACTGGGCAATTTGTACGCTTCGCCATTTTCGAAATCGTCGACAGGCAATCGGAAAACTTCGGTATCACAAAAGAATGATAACTTGCGGGTGTTTCAAGGCATATTTTTTGACAGTCATTCACGATGATTCTGTCGACTTCGGCCCACCCAACTTCAATTTCTCCTAATTTTAATCCAGAAAATTGTACGATGGGTTCGAAGCAAGTTTCACCGTCTAACCAAGACTGGAAGGCTTCGCACTTGGTTTCAATCGAAGGAATCGTTTCTTCCTCTCGAAAACAATTTCGTTCAGGCGTCGATGTAAACTCTACGGGTGAGGGAAGTGGAAGCGCCACTCTGATCTTTCTCTCAAGTCTTTCCCTCACAAAAAGTTTTAGTCGTGGCGGTTTTGAATGCACGAAGGATTTCTGAAGTCCACTCTCTGGTAATGTTTCGAAATACTCGGATGGAGGACGACATTCGAAGTCCTCGCGACCTTCCGGAGCTTCTCGTTCGCCAAGTCGGGCGTAAAATTCTTCGCAGGAGACGTCACTGATTGCAGGAGCGCACTCGTCGAAGTTTAAATTCACACTTCGTCGATTAGCTTGGTGAGTAGAAGGCCAGCTTCTTAGGTGACGGGACGAAATGGTGGGAATGGCTGGTAGTGATGCTCGAGAGCGAAGCTTCACAGGCGTTTGACCACATTTTACGTGGCGAGACGGTTTCGGGAGCACTCCCGACATAATCGAACTAGACGAACAGAACATCTTCAACTTTCAAAACCGAAGGGTTGGGAATAGTTGCGCTCACCTGTGAAGAAGCAGTTCATTCATGTATTCGTCATAGTATGCCAAACTTCACGGGTAACCATCGTGAAGTTGAAATCGATTCGCGCAAACGGAGTTCACTTCCACTAGCTACAGATGGGAAAGTATAACCCACGTGAATTGTTCGGCACTCCGTTCAGGAAAACACCCAGGGCAGAGTCGACAAAGGTTGATCACGTTCACAATAGATGTCAGTAAGTCGTTCAATTCGGTAATACCCCTAGATGTCAGCAAAACTTCGCATGGCGTTCCAAAATGTTAACATTTTGAATAATTGATATACTGTATTGTACAGTAATCCTCCACTTATCATAAATACAACGACTCAATCTCTCCCGTCAGATGTCTTGTCGAGATCTCGGTATACATGATGTCACTGTACAGCAGTGTTACATGCTTCCATCAGTACAGTATATCGGTATTGTATACGGTATGTGATTATTTGCTGGGTGTTCTGACGAAGTTACCCCCCCCCCCCCCCAGAAGTTCAGGGCAAATACTGTATACAGTATATAGAAGAGGTTTTGGTCATAAAAAGTCAAGATGATAGAGCAATATAGTGCATATATATTGACCAAAACTCTGAACAAAAAAACACAAGCCCCAATTCTCAGGAAGTTCAAGCAATCCTTGAGAAAAAGGGTGAGATAGAATCCCATTTCAATTGCATGGCTATACTCGCTGATTTTCCTTCTGCATCAAAATTAAGATAAGATCTCGGAGTATGTGCCAGAATTTTTGCATCCATCAACATGCCAAAGCAAACTCACATTACCAGGAAGATTCTGGCATTATTTGTTTCATCGAATAGTTTCAGAAAAAGGCAAGCAAACATTTTATTTTAAGTTTGGTGAAACTATATTGGCCAGTGTTTATATTACAGTGCTGTTTCTTTTTCTTTTTTTCATAGATGCAGCTGTATCAGCATTTTACATATTGTGGCAATCCTTTTGATTTTTATGGGTTTGCTTGCTGCCATTGCAAAATTATCACAGTACAAAAACTACAAACCACCAAATAGGTAAATCAAATATATATACAGTATACATACAGTATACTGTATATAAGCACAGAAAATTATATTGAAATTAAACTGAACTTGGCATTACCATCAGCCACTTTTATCTAGCAGTCCATCCAAGACCAAGAAATTCCTTGAGGAAGGAGGAAGATACTTTGGAGAAATCTCAAAGGAAATCAAAGAGCTTTACCCAGGAAACTTCAACTTTTTTGCAAAAAGTTTATGCAAGTCAGCATCTGGTTTTGGCAGTAAAAGTGAGACCAAAGTGCTCATTCTAGTTGCATCTGCTCCCGCAAACAAAAACCAAAGAGATGCAATTAGAAATACATGGGCAAAAATTGAGACCCAAAATCTCAGTGTTTCAATTGTAGTAGGATTTGTCATTGGATGGCCAAATAATCCTGCATTTCAACAAGCCCTAGCTTGGGAAAACAAAGTCAATGGAGACATCATTCAAGCAGACATATGGTAAGAACAGCATCTTGAATCTACAGTATATGTTATATGTACACAGCAGAGACAGCCAACAGTAAAATCATGGGCTCATATTAATGGAAAATTGCAAATTATTTTGAAAATTTCTACCACATCTATTACAGCAGTTCATAATAAATAATTGTCCCCTTTTTCAGGGACAGCTACTTGAATTTGACTCTGAAGTCAGTTGCCATGTTGGACTGGCAGGTGCAATTTTGCAAGCAAGCAACATATTTGCTCAAGTGTGATGATGATGTCTACATCAACACAAACACATTACAGGAGCTAGTGCACAACATGCAGACTCAAGAAATCAGTCCAGATCTTATTTTTGGCCAAGAAATTGAGGACCACAGGCCTGTGAGGAAAAAATTATCCAAGTGGTTCATGCCTTCTTCAATTTACTCTGCCCATGACTACCCACAATTCTGTGGTGGACCTGCTTACATGGTACAGTAACTTTTCCTTATCCTTGAATTGCAATTCATAATTCTCTGAAAGCCATCTTATACAGCTACGTTTTTTAATCACATTTTAGCACAGGTTTATACTGTATAACTGAATCATACGCATTTGCTGTATAAGCTTTGATGATCAGACAAAAAAGAGCTCATTTGCTTACAACAGTAATTACATATGACCTGTTTTAAATATTCTATATTACATACAGTATCTCGAAGTAACCTTTACAGCATTTACTTGAATACCAACTGTACCATATGTTCTCATGCATAAAACACACATGACATTTTCAGCAGCAAATTCAAGTGCAAATTTATTCCTTCATTAGACACAGATGCCACTTTTTAGTGATTACATAATAATTACAAAAGCAACAATTATTACTTGAATGCAGATATGAAATATAATGTACAGTACTGTACATTCAATTTGTTTTTCTTTTATATAATAAGGTATCCATTCAATAATTCATCCAGTGATACTTCAAAGGAATTTTGAACTTTTGTTGGAACAGGTAATATTTGAGTATTTCTACCCCATTTTGCATTTAAAAAAACACCAAACCAAGTAAATATATGGCAATGCCTTAATGATAACTGGTTTCAATTTTTCAGATTTCAACTCAGAAAACACAAGAAATGCTGAAAATGGCATTAAACCTCAACTTCTTCCCATATGAGGATGTCTTCATCACAGGAATGGTTGCTTCAGCTTTGGGTATGAAGTGCTTTGGCATAGGAGAATTTCACAATTCAGACCCACTTCTACACATGGATACCCCAGTACCTTGCTACTTGAAATACATTGTATCACACCATGGTATTGCACCTGCTGATAGGATGTACATCCTTCACAACTTGCTGAAATCTATTCCAGAATCCTGCTCTGAATCAGACATAATGTTCCCAGGGCAAAAAAATTGAAAAATAAGATTCATTTCTGTATTTAATCTCCTCAAAATTGAATCCATTGTCATTTCAAGCAAAAATTTTAATAAATATTCTTTGTGCAAATGAAAAAAAGTCTCTTACAAATATGTTTGATGAGGATTCTTTGTTTTTTCCTCATATATTAATTCATGTGTTTCAGATTCAGGTGGACTCTATCTACAACACAATTCAAAAGACCAGAAAAAGTGTACTGTAGAGAGAATTTTGTTGCAGAGAACCCCTCCAAGATGGGGAAACAAATAATATGGGACAAAATAATTTTTGTATCAGAGGAAGTCACTGTAGACTAAGATTGTTGTAGAGGGAGAGTCCATGTGTACTTTTTTCAAATTTCCATAGGGGTTCTGTAACTAAGGCATGGATTAGCCATTCCATTCATTCAGAATACACTTCAGTAAAATAATAATTGCTTACAACATATGTGTTTTTAGGTCCCTGGCAGATTCTTTACGTTTTGTTTGAGTTTCTTTGAAACTTTTGCAGAAAAAGCATTTCTACTGGTACCAATGGGTCTTTTGTAACAAGATGTTACTGCATCAAATTAATGGACCTCTTTGTTGGAATAAATTAAGTCATAGCTAAGGCACAACTGCATCTGAACAAAATTAAAGCTGCCCATTTCCAGTATTTACTCAAGTACCACGCAACCTCAAGTAAGGCGCACACAGGGATTTTTTAGCTGGAAATTTTGCTAAAATCTTATCCCCAAGTAAGACGTGCACCCCAATTTTTAGTGAATCTAAAACCACAAAATTTCAAAAATGGAAAAACAAAATTTGCCTTTAGACATGAATTGAACAAAAATCTGATCAATTTTCAACTTTGTCAGTAGAAACCAATTTTCTCAGTACATTTTTTTCTAATTTCATGATTCTAATTAAGTCACACCTAACTTCTTAAAACTTCTTTAAAAATTTGTACCCACTTATGAAGCACACCCCTTTTTTCTTCTGAAATTAGAGAAAAAAGGTGCGCGTGGTACTGGAGTAAATACGGGTATTTTATTTTTGGGTAGGCAGCAAAAATAAATAATGCTGTTTGCAGCTGGAAAAAAGGCCATAACACTGAACACATGAAGAGCAATAATTTGATTTGGAGTGAAATTGACTTTGCAAGCTATGCAGTTTTACACCACAAAGAAAATCGAAAATCACGGAGTCCATCATAAAAAAAGACAATTTTCTTTATTCTCACCAATCCCATGACTGAAAATAAAAACGCAAATGTTTTTTCTCCCCACGTGAAACTTGAAATGCAGATCACAGACTCCTCTTCACTCTCATAAAAACTCAGCGACGATCAAAAGTACCAAGACCTCTCGATTCAAAACGCAGCACTTGAAAGTCCAGCTTATAAAATGAATCACTCTATAGTTCTTTCTCAGCTAAAACTATAACATCACTCATCATCTTCCTATTTTTTCTTTTCTTTTTTCGGACAACGGTAACAATGAAAGCACAAGCACTCGACTTCCCGGTTTTAAAACTGGGTCTCGGACTAGGAAGGCATTGTAACGAATCTCATCCCAAAACTCGCGAGAAAAAAAAAATATAGAGCATGGAAAAACGCGAGCGAGTAGGTGAAAAATGTCACGGAATCGACTCGACCAAAAGAAAACATTCTTCAAGGAACGTAAAAAATCCAATTTATACAACATTTGAAAAATTCCTCCACACGACTTTTCCTTTTTTTTTTTTTCATCGCGAATCTTCTCTAGAAAGACAACTTCAGGTCTTCTCAAAATTTGTGGGATTCCAGTAGATCATCAAATGCTCACCACCTAAATTATTTCGCACGTTTTCTATAATTTTTGAGAAATCGGGAATTTTTCCTTTCTTCACGGTCCAATGGAGATGAGTTACTTTGAAATTTAATTAAAGCTGATGAAATCGAAATTTCCTGAAACGTTTTTCAAGCCGTATTTGCATAATATGACATTTTGAGTAAGTTTTTTTTCTGATTTCTCATCCCGATTGCAGTCAGAAAAATAAAAAAAACTCCGTTTTTCAAAAAGGAAAGGGAATAAAGTTAACGTACAGCCTCAAATGAAAATTCGCACATCTTCTCACAAAAAAACACCTTCAATCAAATACCGTATCCCTGTCCTGATACAGTATTTGAAAATCAATCGTCATCTCAAATTTCAAATCCACGACTCGAATTGAGAGGCATCAACAATTCGGAACTGTTTCAGAAAAACGTTCCGAATCGGTTCCCGAAAAAAAAAAGTTTTGCTCACATCATGTAACACTAAAAGTGCAGCACGAATGCAAAAAAATAATCCCTTGCTCTGAATGCCCACTAGTTTACAGCTCAAGCTTGCAAAATCGATGCGGCAAGCTCGACAAGAACCGCAATGTAATTCCGGCAAAAACAAAAAAAACGCACATTCAAACACAAAAAATCGTATCACCGCAGAAAAATACAGTATTCAACGAAATTCAACAGAGAAAACAAATTTGAATACATTGAATTCGAAGCTTAAGGTGGAATTGACCAACACACCATAATAACATAGGCTCACAATTCAACGAGTTTTTTTTTCTCAATCGGAACCCCTGAAAACATTTTGCAACCGACTGAAAAGCGATTTCTTACAATTATCAATCTTAAAACTTGAAGCCGAAGAATTGGCGAGTGAGGTGAGGTCATTTATGTTCAAGTAAATTAGAATTTCTCTTCCCTTTCAACGAAAAACACCGACAGCTACTTTTAAAAGTTCCATTAAAAAAAACGCGAACTGAAAACGATCGATCCAAGAAATCAAAATTGGATGACTTCAGCTTGCAAAATTCGTCACTCAAATGGAATTCAACACTCCCGTCACTTTCTCCACTGAGAATCGCGAAATAAAAAAACACTTTTCTCGAATTCCACCAACACAGAACGTCGGGTTTCCCCCCGCCCATTTTTCAATAATATTAGGAATGAGTACTGTATCATCACAAGGAATTTCCCGCATCGGGGATCATCATACGGTATTTCTAAACCTCAAACGGACTCAGTATCAAGAGTAAATCAGCACCCAGTACATTTTTTTGCTCAGACCTCTAATGACTGGTACATTCATTTCTCTAGTCTTAAGCATTCTGAATTGTTCTTCCAACGCCTTGAAATACTCCAATATCATGAAATAATCGCGAATAAACTTATGGTGCATCGAAAACATGAAAAAGCACAGACACAAGGTTCCCCAAAAGCTAGAAGAAATTTCATAAGTCCGAAGAAAAGGTTTTAATAGCTTTGCGGATTAAGAAAATTAAAATTATAGCATTTTCAATGATCCAAACCCCGACACTCCGCGTCAAAGGAATGTCGGGGAAATGCGTCGAAATTTTTTCACTTTTTTAAAAATTAAATGGTTCATCAATTCATCATGGATAACCCGGAGTGACCAATGACTAAAATCACCACACCTAACATAATTGTTTACAGCGAAAAAATCACCAAAGACAACAACTGGAGTCATTTTCTTTTTTTCCACAATTTGCATATTATTTCTTTTACGAAAAAGTGGATGGATTTAAAAAGGCAATAAAAGCCTTTTCTCTTCATTTTCAATTGAAATTACTGGCAAGGTTGAGACAAAAACTAGTTATTTTTCCATTCCTTCTGGGATTTTTGAAGACTGGGCCGCTGCGACATTGGGCTCAAGAGAGAGTTTAATCTTTAAATTACATCAATGAATTGAAATCTTTTCAGCAACTTTGTCATACACTTCTATGATTGCAACGGCCTTTCATTTTTCAGGTTTATTATCTTGAAGTTTCAAACATGATACATTCTTTTTAAATTGTCCAAATAATTTAAAATTTGTTGGAACTGTTCATAACTTGCTACACTATGACATGATTCGATAACAATTCAAATTCATTACTGAATTAACCAGAGTACTTTTCTTCCTAAATTTGAAAAAAAAAAGAATGGGCATAATATTTGAATGAGAATCATGCTGTGTTTCCAAGGACATATAATTTGCTTTATGTAGAAATAAAAATGTTTCTTACCTTGTCTGATCAACTCCCACGCCAGTAAAAGTATGAATAAAAAAAATGGTATAAAAAAGGAAAAATTACTCCAAGTTTCGCTTTTGGCGAGTTGTCGGGGAATCCACCTAATCTAATAGCACACCAGAACCAAATACGAACTTAATTCGCCACAGCCCAAAATAAAATCTATATGCGAAACCTACGTAACATCACATGAAATCAGAGAACTTTCAGTGGCACGGTTCAAAAAGCCAGAAATTGAGGATAAGCGCCTTCCCTTTTACACGAATCACCGTAATTAAAATTATTCAAGTTTTAAATTCTCACTCCTGAACGTTTGAAAAACAAACGCAACTTCATCATTAATCCTAAAAAATACGGAGAACGATCAGAAAAAAAGGCGTCCTTTTCCTTTCTTCCCGTGAACGCTCCTTAAATTGGATCCTAAATACAAAGGTTTCCACAAAAAAAAAGACACAATCATCACGTTGAGGCAGTCGGAAAATTCGCAGAAACCGACACAGAAAAAGAAAAAAACACTGACTGTCGTAAAACGTACAGTAGTTCACACTCCATCATCACTGGCGATGCGCCAGGCAACCAGGGTAGTGGGCATACTGTAAGCAAGCACCGGGTGTTCTCGCAACAGCAGCGCCTGCGCAACAGTAACACGTACGAGCACCGGCGCCACAAGCAGACGCACTGGCGGCGCCGGCGCCACCACCACCACCAACACCGCCGCCACTGCTGCTGCTGTCATGGCAGCTCATGTCAGTCGGGATTTTATTGGGGGCTCTCAAAGTGTCACACTGTTCGCACGTGGACAGGGCCGGGTGGTTGAGGAACGTGCATGTGGGACAAGACCAGTGCGGACCTTCTTCTTCGTCCACGGAAACAGCAACACTAGATGACGCACGCTGCAGTTCGTCAGGCATCGACACGGAGGCTGTCACACGAGAGCCTGGAGCTACAGCAGCTTTGCATGAAAAATAAAATTAATTTAAAAGGAAGAAACTGAAATGCTTGAAATAAAGCTTCATAAGACAGTTGGTTTAAATACAGCGGGGCCCTGAAATGTGGACGTGCTTGGACCTTGTCCTCATGTAGGATCACGTTTCCCCAAATGCAGAAGTATCCGTTTTATTCTTTTGTTCAAAAATTAGAAAAAAGTCCAAAAAAAATGAATAAAACAATTTTCTCAGCTTCAAGATACAGAAGACAACCACCCAGAATCGAAAATTTTGGCATGAAAATTAGCTAAAAAAAAAGAACGAACATAAGTCTAACTATAATGTGCACAGATCAAGAAAAACAAAACTCTGAAAAAGATAAACACGATTAGGCTTTTTTGATTACAAATTGGAGTAAATTTATGATAAAATTTACTTTTCATTGTTGTGAATTTGTGAATATAAGCTGAATTTGTTCAAGAGATATTCATATTTGAAAAAATAGTTTCCATTCTCATAGAAATTTCAGAAAACTGTCCATATCTCAAGACATCGTCCAGATGCCGGTGAAAATGTTTGAAATTGTAAGCGTCTTCAAGTCGAATTCGTATGTCGGGGCCCCAATGTATTTTGTCGGTATTCGTCAGGTGAATGGATTTTTAACAAAGAATTTCATTTTTTTGCTAACGTGGAATTCCAATTTTTTTTCATATTGGTTGATATGAATAAATGTCTTCTCCGAAATTTTAATGAGAATTATTTGGGCCACGACGAATTTTTTCTGGTCCCTTAAATGTCATTGTAATATGCTGTACCTGTATTACACGAGATTCAATTAGGTTCAAGATTGGAGCAACACCTGTCTGATTGTTGAAGAAATCGGAAAGCCGACATCGAAAAAAGAAGTACAGTAATGTACCTAGAATGTACAGCGCAAGATTCTTTTCTTTTTTGGAGTGAGGAAAGCAATTATTGTCCAACTTTTTAACAAACATAAATTTAAAAATGGGCAAGCCTTTCAATCGGGAATCAACTCACGAGGAATGCTGCGGGAAAATTGAGGCATCATCACAGCTGCCATGTCATCTGGCGGGGGAACTCGGCCATCTTGACCCGTTCTACCAAACCGCTCCATATTCGAGTAAAACTCTCCGTTGCGAGGAGCAGTGCTCTGACCCTGGAAAAACTGGATTCTCCGGTTCGTCAACTCGCACTTCACCCGCAGACTATGCACGATTTCATTCAGTTCCTTCAAGTCCTTCACCTGATTGAAGAAAATTAGCCAAACCAACCGTCAATAAGACACAGCTCAAGTAAGTTGTAACCACCTCCTTATTTTTTCAAAACATATATTCCCTAATGATATCAACATAGGAAATCCGACAAAAATGCCAACTGCCAAAAATTATTGACGATTCAAGTACGTTCCTGCTCATTACGTGGTTTTTTCGATACCAGGACAAAATGATTTAAATTTCTAGAGTTTTCCATTTAAAGAAAAAATCCACAAGCACAGAAAGATGCCAAAATTGACTTCTTGAACCTCTCTAATTCAAATTTCTAGAGACCAGGGAAAAAAATTTGACTTAGGGAGGTTTTGAGTTGAGGAAAAAACATTTTTGCGGCAAGGAAAATTAAAAAATTGTGGGAAATTGTTGAGGATATTCTGGGCCTAAAATTGCTTCTTACTGAGTTTACAGCTTGCTGAACTAGGAGACAGGGGTTCACTTGTTCACTTAGTCTTTCACTTCATTTAAAGATGCATAAAATCATTTGTTTTATTGATTTTCTCTTTCATATTTCAAGAAAATTATGAACAAAAGGCCTCAGAAAATTCAACTGACAGATGTTTGAGAGAAAAAGACCATTAGTTAGAGAGGTTTTTAATGCATTGTTCCTAAATGAATCCAGACAGGGACTTGAAAAAGATTCGAATCAGGGAGGTTTGACTTATCATGGATCAACTTCAATAAGATGCATTTCACTTATCCCACTAATCCCAGGGTTATTTTAATTGCATCCTAATATATCATATGTTTTGTCTTTTTTGATAAACCTCTGCGTCAAACCTCCACAAACAAACAAAGATGGCTTATCAAGGTTTGACTGTACATAAAGTGCAATAAAAGAGTCCTAGATTTTAGAATGGCGCGGGTATTGATAATTTAATAAATAATATTATATAAACAACATGGGAAACTAATGAACACCTTGTATTTTTGTGCTCAGTAATTGCCAGGTGCTGTGCTTTTTGTCATTTTTGAAAAACGATGGAGATTTTTTATGCATTCTCATGCAGTGCAATTTATTTTCTGTAAATAAACATGTACAATAATGCAACATTTTTGCTGGGCCAGAATGTGTCTCATGGATGTGGGGGATTTTTTGAACCTTGCGTTAGTTTTCCAAGTGATCATAGCGGTCATGAGAATTCTGCTAGTCAACACCTCTAGCATTAAAATGAAGGCGTTAGAACAGGACATACATTTTAGATTTTTTCTTCTTCTTTTAATGGGTTGTCTTACCTATTGATAATGGGGCATGTTTTAACCTTGTGCATGATAATCTGAACAAACATAATGCAAGTCTCCCGAAAAAATCCTTCTCAAATGAACTCCAAATTGTTTCTTCTTCTCCCAACTTATTCGCAGTCTTCTATTTACAAGAAACCCTTACAGTCGGAAACTGGGTTCCTCTGTTTTGCCTCCTCTGCATCAAGTCGTCTTCCAACTTCTTCTTTTCATACTTCAACTTCATGCATAGTTTTCTTTCTTCAGCAACTTTCTTCTCCAACGCATCCTTCCTTGATTTTTGATGCAAAATCAAAGCTGTAAAAAAATAAAAACGAATGGCTGTCGTGAGAGAAATACAGTTCCAACATTTCGAATGCTTTTCAATTTCTTCGCCAATCAAGAAGCGAGATGAACTGACTAAATCTAGAAATGCGAAGCTTTTGAATCTTTGATGATTCCGCAAAATGAACTAATTTATCGAAAAATACAGTATAAAGCAAAATTACAATCTGAAAACCAATTACGTGCCTGTAACTCAGTCGAACCTGCACACACACAAAAAAGAAAGTTGTTCAAGAAAACAATTTTTCGACTCAAGAGCGAAATTGTGTTTCTCCAGTTCAGCTTGAACACCCACCATGGCCGTAATCCTTCCTCCTCGAATTCTGCATACCGGTCTCATAACCTTGATTGCGGACGGAACCGTTTTGGGAATGACTAAGCAAAGCAGGGGTTCCATCAAAAATCTGCAAGGGATCCTCCACTTCAATCAACGACGGCTGATGATGTATCCAAGAGAAACTCGGTGAGTTCGGAATGCCAACTGGCACAGTTACTTCACTCCTGTGCTGCACTGGAGCCCCCGGGGAAGCAGCTGGCAACACTGCATGCTCGTACCTGATCTCTGAATTATTCTGCAGGCAAAAAGAAAAACAAAGGCGCAGAAATTAAGAGCCGCTTCACAACTAAGAGCGGACATTTTTGTAATAATTTCCTGTTTCAGGGATTTCCCACAAGTCTCGATAATCACAGAACCGAAATTTATCTGCTTGTTCATTTTCAAAACATCGCGGATTTAGGGAAAAAATATCGATCAAATCACAGATCAAAACACGAAACAATCTGAAATGAGCTTTTGAAAATTTAGTTTTTGTTTCTAATTAGGCATTAGAAAAAAGACTTTTAAAAAACATCTTGAAGTTTCAATGAGGACCCACTGAAATGGAGCTTTCTCCCCTAAACCTGTCCCAAACGTCTCGATAATTTTTTCAACACAAAATATTCAAAACCACCAAATGCTCTTCTGTAGATTCCAAGTTTTGGCTCTCATCTTGAAGAAAAGCTGTGGAATTTCAATTCCTATTAGAATCTTTAATTTCAATAGGCGACTGCTGAAAAAAGTAGATTGTTATCCTTCATCAGTTTTTCGTAGCACCTCTCTTGCTTTTTTTTTTTGGACTGACCAATTAGCTTTGACACGATTCGAGAAGGAAAAAAAAGCTTTTTTCGACATGGAATGACACAGTGAAATATTCATCATTTTACCTGACAATCATCATATTCATCTTCAAGAAATAGAAATATAAAATGACACTTTTTCGTAATTCAAATACAACTATTGAATGATAAAAAAATTAGAATAATGAAGTATTCTATTGAATGCTATATTCAAAACAAAGAATTACGAATTTTAATTCTAATTATTGAACATAGAATTATTAATCTCATAAATTCTCGTTATGATATTTAAACTGAGAAAAACCTTTGAAGCAAACTTCTCTTTTTGTGTCAATGCAATTGAACCTCCCATGTCGAATTTCTTCGAGTCCCTGCCTGAATTCCCTCAATCCCTCAGAAAAAATGCATTAAAAACCTCCTTAAATCAAAGCTTTTCTCCTTCAAACCTTCATAATTCGAATTTTCTCGAGGCATTTCAACTACAGTACAGTACTTTACTGACACAGAAAAAAAGGCGATCAACATTTAAATTGATGATTTTTTGAATTAGAAAAAATAATTGAGCCAATAAAACCTTGTCTTCCACTTCAGCATCCTGCCAACTAATTCGAAAAGTAATTCAAGGCCCAGAATATTCCTGCAATTTTTTCCATCTTTCCCAAAACAAAAACAAAAAAAAGCTTCTTCCCCAACTCGAAATCTCCCGTACTCGATTTTTTCCTCTCTGGTCCCTCGAAGATCGACTTGAAGAAGTTCTACTGCAATAAATAATAACCTACATGCAGAACACATCGCACGGACGTGACTGACGGCTGTGTGATTTCGTGGCGCAATCCGACAGGTCTCGGTCGGGCGCCGGTGTTGTCGACGGACCTGGTCCTCGCTCTGTGCATCGGGGGAGCAAACTCCGTCGTCGGCGACGACGTCGCCGAACAAGACGTCGCCCCACCAACCACGCGTCCGTCGTTGATGTTGTTCTTCACGCGCAACTCCCCCTCGCTCCTCGTGTTCTTCATTGCACTCGACACTCGACACTCACTCACTCACTCGGGAAATTTGCGGGTCGGTTCTTTCCCACCTCTCACTTTCGAAACATTCGCTTCAGATTCTGCGAAAGGGCAAAAAAAAAGTTGAAAACAGATCACGCGACAAAACAAATCTTTCCACAGCACTCCAGGAATTGAATTAGAAAGCGAGCAACACTTGATCATCACTGATTTCTGCGCCTTCTTTCGCCGAAATATAATCCATCGAATGTCGGCGGAACTGACGTCGAACACGAATCACGGTGCATCGACATTGCATCAAAACCACCCGACACTGAAAATAGCTGAATGCGTAAAAATAAATCCACCACACGTCTTCTGGTTCAAGCACTTCGCGATAAATTTGAATATTCCCGGCGAACGAATCGTGATTCGATTTACAATTTCTGATGAATGATCACAATGAAAAAAGTGCAACTGAAGTTTAAAAAAAATTGGCTTACACAGAAAAATTATACAGTATTGAAAGATTTTTTTAAATGCATTGCAGAATGTCCCCCGTTTCTTCTTCAGTGCGAGGAATGCATCATGCTTAGAATGCCATTTTTTGTTCGAATTCAATGTCTTAAAATATTTTACCAAAATTGCGACGCTAGCCGTGATATAAAATGAAATGTTCGTTTGCATTGAAGTTCCTGCCTATTCTATCAAGTTGACTACATTTTTCGGATTAAGATCTTAACTTCTTCCGATATCCAAGTACAGCAATTTAGTCTACGAAACAAGAACAGCCCGTGTAAAATTTCGGCCAACCCCGGAACTTAAACTTCGACCATGTCGCCATTTCTGTCCCCGGAGATAATCGTAAAAAATTCTTGAGAGGAAGACGACTTCCAAAGCTTCGCAGACTTTCAAAGGTAAATGAAGTTAGTTTACGATATTTCCACAGCACAAAACGATAATTCATATTTTTAGCGAGTCCTGTCGTTTCTCCCGATAAATACAGTAGAAATCTTTTCCCGAAGCTCTTGAGATATTTGACGAAAATTCATTCCTGAAACGATCGTCTCGAAGATTTTTTTTCACAAACGAAGTACCTTCAACACGACCGACAACAGCGCAAGATGATAAGTTTCTGAAATTCTTCAACAACCCTGACATCCGTTCGAGACAGTTCAGTTTTAAATAAGAAAGAGCAACTTGAAATTGGCGATTCGCACTGTTTCCTCAGTAACTACGGTAGAAAAAGCCTTCAAAATTGGTTCAGAAGTTTTTTGGGGTCAGTAAAAATTCTACACTCTCGAAGCTCGCAAACAAATGCATTCAACACGGCCGACACCAATTCAGAGATTTAAAAAAAAAGCTTTCGAATAATTAAAAAACGAAATATTGTGCTGCTCTCTTCCCGTCATTCAGGACCAGCCGTACTTGCAAATCTCAGCCACCAGAAAGGCATTCACGACACTCGACACGAGGTTCACAGAACAGTTGTCCAGCAAAGGGATCCCACTGATCCTCTTGACCTTCTCACCGGGCTTCTCCACGATCTTCCCACTAGTTTCGTCCACACCCGAAAACTGCAAAGTAGCGCCCAATAACGAGTCAATGAGCGAGCCCGTGAGGCCGCCAAGACCGCCGACGAGCACAATGGGCCATTGACGCGGAGAGGCGGCGAGAACTCGCGGCGACAGACACGTGATAAGGGCGACATAGTAGGCAAAGCCGACGACAAGGCCGCCTAGCAGGGAGAACACGAGGCCGCCAAGAGTCACGCCACCGTTGGTACCACGGGGCACCATGCGGCCAGTGGTGACGAGGCGACACGACGTCGTTGACACGATCGTGCCGAGTTCCGAGGCCCATGTGTCGCCGTTGACGCACGCAACGGCGCCTGCAAAAAATAAAAACGACAGTTGATTCAGAAGTTTTGCCAATTTGAATTTCAATCTGCACAAACGATATTATCTTTTCCCCTCCGCTCTTTTAGGTTGAAATGGAGAAAAGCTTGGCAAATGAAAGAGCAGCTCCACACTAAAAAAAGAGGTTTACTGTACCTGCCATACTTGTATGGAATTACAGTACATTCAATTTAATTCCAACCAAATATTCTGAACAAAAAAAGTTCAAATGACTACAGTAAAACCCCGATTTAATGCCACCCTGGGCTAGTGCCACAAAATGTACCAGGACGAACAGTAGCACTAAATCGGGGGGCACTAAATCGACGGTTGACTGTACGTTCAACATTGGAAAACCATGCGAATGTGTTTTTCTCTCGAAAATTCGTAGTAAGCAACGCCGAATGTGAACATCGTCCTGGAATATGGATTTGTGAGCAAGAATTTGCCCAAGTCGGTGTAGATTTTAAAGGAAACCGCGTCAACTTTAACCGGGATGGGTTCTAGTATTACAGTACTGTATTCACCCTCGAGTACCACGCGAACCAGCGCTTTTGATGGCAAAAATTTCGATAAAATTGTATTCCCTAAATTTGCATTTTTTCTACAACAAAAATAATTCATTTCAAAAATAAGAATACCCCAATTTGAATTTAGGAATAAATCAAAACTTGAATTCAACTAATTTTTTTCCATTAAAATAAGTCTTTCTGTATAACTTCGGTTCCAAATTTCCCATTGTAATCAAATATAATGCACACCTAAATTTATAAACCTTTTCGAACAAGTTATACCCACCTATGACGCGCATTCCCTTTCTTCCCTCGCGATTTTGTGAAAAAAATGTGCGCGTGTTACTCGAGTAAATACGATATCTTGGTTTATTCAGTTATCCCGACAACACCTGCGTGTAATTCCATAAAGGAAGGTTGCATCTTTCATCAACATGTACTGCAATTTTTCATAAGCTCGTCAACCTCTTCAGAAAAACGTTGAAATATGGAGAAAAGAGATCGTGAAGTTCTACCTAGAATGGCCATGCCCATGTAAGACGGCCTGTAATCTTCTATGAAGTCAACCGGTCTTTCCCCGACGCCCACGTCGATCAGGTACAAGATGGCGAGTTCCGCTGCCATGGCGCCATTGCTTACCACTTGGCACCAGTTTCTCTGGCCTCCTTCCTTGAAATCTCCCTCGATCCCTCGCTTAATCTGGAATAAACACCGAAAACGTCATCACAAACTTCCGTAAATAATCTAATAGGACAATGCAATGCATTTCATGCCCACACGGATGAAAAAAGAGGATGCAATGAAATTCCATCACAACGGATATCGTTAAAACGAATTTTTTCTTCGGCCCTGGCGGTTTCTTTACAGGGACAATTCTAAACAAATTTTACAAAAACTAATATTCCTCTAAAACCTCAGAGCAGTATAACAAATTTTTTACTCAATTTTGTGTGCATAACCATAGAAATCTTTAAAAATAGACACAATATGGGAAAGCCATTAAACCGAACTTGTGCATAATTGGAAAACCTTCAAAAAATATGAATGATAACTTTTCTGCAAAGAAAATTTAGCATTGCGAAATTTATGAAGCTCAAATCGAACTGTATTTAGCTTTACTTTAGAATTTAGAAATGGCTAATTTTTGTAAGAGACGCATGGTTGGAAGGATATTGCTCTATTTTAAAGAACACACAGTTCTTGATGAATAAATGCTTTAATTGCAAATGCATTTTCCGATTGTTTCACCTTCTACTTCAGTAAGATCGGAATTTTTTTTCAAGAAATGAAAGTTCTGAAACTAGAAAATTGTGTTTCACATTTTGAAAGTTTTCCATTATTCAAACAAAAGAAGTTAGAAACTTGGGTAACTCTTCATACATCTGTTGTGGAAGTAGTGTATAGAACTTTAAAGCATATACTGTATTACCTGTTTCCCACAAAATTTCAGTCCAGCTAAAAGAAGCATAAATCTCGTTATAACGAGTTTTTCGTTTTAAATGATTTTTTCTCAGGTCCCTGGGAATTTGTTTTAACGAAATTTTACAGTACTGTATTTTTAAATTTAAAAACCGAATACAGTACCACCAATTTCCGGGAAATGAAAAAAAAAACTCACTTTTGCGCCATACTTGGTCACCCTCGAAGACGTGATAAAAAATGCAATAAGGCTTGCGGAAAAACAAAAACTGCTCAGACCGATGAAAAATCCAACGAATAATGCAGTGAATGCTCCGGTGAAATTCAAGCTGCGTTTGTAGTAGCCATAGGAACTCAACATCACCGGCATGATGACAGCAAAGAGCCAACGATAAGCTGGAATGCCCAGGCCTGTCAATGAACAAAACACAAATCAATCGATCAATGTTTGCATTTAAAATTTCACAAATCCTAATAAGCTGAACTATAATTCAAAGGTTATGGCAGGTATTCCAGAATCATGCGGCGATATCACTTCACTGGAGACTGAAAAATGAAAACTATAAACACATGTTTGTGATAAAGGTTTTCTTGAGGAATAGGCAAAAAGTGTTTCAAAAATAGACAGGTAAAATTTCCAACAGCTCGACCGATAAATTTAGAGCTTCACTGTGATGTTTCAGAAATCGCGAAAAAAATCCTTGGAATAGGTTGTTCTTTCATTTTTAGTCTGACTGTGAAGTCTGGAAAAATATACGGTAATAAATATTTTACTCACTTGGATCACCATCTTCCACTTCTGAATAAGAGTAGTACGAGTTGACGAGCCAAAACAGTCCACTGAATTGCAAAAGGAGTCCAAAAGCAAGTACCGCGTACATGTCGGCTCTTCTGCGTCGCTTCGCGTCGCGAATCAACCCAACGCCACCAATAATTTTGCACGTTTCATCTGCCATAAAAGCAATAGAACCCCTGACCACCGCTTATTGTCCTCTACCAATTTTCAACTCGAGCCATTTTTTCAACTTTGAAATTTGCAAGTAACATCACTCAACTATTCATCACATAACCAGGGCTCCGAAAGATTCGCACCGAAGTGCTGAAGAGAATCAGGAAAAATCTTTCCCCAATATCACATTTACCGAAGTACAAGACGCAAAAAAGTATCCGCACGCATTTGAGTACAGTACTGTATCACAAAACCTTCATATCCTTTATTAATTCGTAGCTTCAAATCCTTGGAGTTTTCCTCTTGGGAAATTTAATCATAAATTCAAGTGATGCTCGAACTCTCTCTTTCGTCCGAAGAAAGATTTTGATGGAAATATGAGTTCTTCTCACTTTTGCATTGGTTTAATAAAATTAAGTGTTCATTAAATTGACACCGTAGATTATGCAGGAGTTCGACCTGTTCGTGCTGAAATTTCAAACACGAATCGAAAAAAAACCTCTGTCTCTACAAAAAAAAAGAGGCAGTGTGAAGCCAAAAAATCATTAGAATACTGTATGAACAAATCTCGGTTGCTGAGCTTGACTTCTGCTAAGAATTTCGGAATACTTGCGATTTAATATAGATCAAAACACAAATAATATCCCAATTCAAACGGATTCCATGAGTACCATTTAAAGAAGCAGATGAAGGTTTCGTGGGTACATCGGATATCGAAATTTTTCAAGAGGAATGCAATTTTCATCGTAATGACACATTTTAGCGGCATTAATAAGCAAAAATATTACTACGAATTAAGCAAATTTGTTGAGAGCTAATCAAACTATGCTTCGGGAATCATGAAGGAAGAGAAAACTGCCTCCCGGTGACCTTTACACAGCAAAACTGGGCTAAGAATTTGGCTCTGCAAGTAAATGAGATGGGAGAAAGCGCAAAATTATCCAAAACTAACCAAGCTTGTGTTCTAAATCTCTGAAGTTTACAAGACACTTCGGATTTACGATGATTACTGCAATTAAAAGAATTTCATCTCAACTTCACACGAATTGATGACTTGACTTATTTCTTATTATATTTGGTAGTGATTTAGGCAGATTGAAGGCTTTGGGGGTGGATTGCACATTCACGGGGAACACGCAGAAGCACTTTTCACATATGATGTCACACTAAAACGCGGCACCACTCGAACCGAACATAAATCTCACACTAACTTCATGACACAATCAAATTTCGGATACGCCGGCAAACTCAGCCCATACTTGAGCTCCAACGCCGGAGGAACAAATCGCCCTCCCAAGAAGTGAAACCTCCCTTTGAAAAATTTGGCACACATTTTCGGCGCGGTTAACGACACCAAGCAATCAGGATCAATGCCTTCGCCAGACTGATCCCCGTTTTCCACGTCCCAACCAGACGGGATATCAATTGCCGCGATCCTCGCCTTTTTCAGGCCCTTCAAGGCATTCATGATCGGGAGGAATGTCTCCCGAACCGGGGGTTTGAATGAGAACCCAAAGAGGGCGTCAACAACCACGTCGTACTTGTCGTCGATTTCCGCGGGTTGCGGACAGTTGTCCAGAAAGCGAAGATCCATCTTTTCACACTGGGTTCGCAGGCGTTGGAACAAGGCGGTGTTGGGTTGCTTCGGGTAATAAATCGAGGATTTTCTGCCGAATAACGCCAAATGACGAGCAGCAACTAAACCGTCGCCTCCGTTGTTTCCAGGACCAGCGCTACGAACCAAATTCATGAACAAGACGTAATAAATTCACTTTTCCCAAAATCATGTCAAGAATCCGCTATGTCACTTCGAAATGCCACGTAATATCGTTGAAACTTCGAGATCACCAAATATTCAAAACTTTCACGACAAAACGCTCATCTGATGCTCAAAACGCTTTTGCTATTGACAATTCATTCCGTTTGGTTTGGATAGATGTCACTAACTATCAAAATATAATTTCAGATCACCTCTATCTGCTTCCTGGTTTCATCGGATTCCCAGTGAAATTTCAATGGAAAAATGAATACTACCGTATATTGTACGATTTTTCTGGCAAAGTAAGTATAACAGAACCACTGCAAGTCGAAATTCAAGGAACCAGCAAGTCAAATTCCGACTTAGGGAAACGAAGCATTTTTGTTGGGGAAAGAAAGAAGAATTACAGAAAATCTGAAATCCTAATATTCTGAGCCTTAAATTACGTCATAAATAATGAGTTGAAAGGATGCGGAACTTGGATGCAAGAGTTTAATTACCCGATTAGTCTTTCACTTCCTTTCAAAACACATTGTTACATTTTCATTGCCATTCTCTTTCCTGATTCAGTAAAATAATAGCCAAAAGGTCTCCGGAAAATTCCAACTCTGGAGGTTTGAGTTCGGGAGGTTTTCAATGCATTCCTTCTCAGGAAATTCAGACAGGGACTGGAAAATATTCAAGGGGAGGTATTCGACTTAAGGAGCTTCAAGTGTATTTTCAACCCTTCACGAGACGAATGCCGACATTCAGTATCGTTCGACTTTGTGGGAATCGACGAAGTTAGCTTTTCCGCTTGCATCCAGAGTTGAGAATCAACATAAAGACTCACCAAATGAGGAAGTTCTCTGCATCAGGATACGCTTCTGCAATAGCTGTGGCACAACTTAGACCTGCAAGCTCCATCAACTGATCCACACTGAAACCATACGTAGAGAACAACTCTTCGTCCACTTCGATAGCCTCATTTTGAGACAAAAACTTGACACTTGACATTTTCGCGGAATCAGAAAACAACCTGCACCCATTAACGCGTCTCAACACTTTCCATGCAATTGAAACCCTCATCAATGTGCACCTGCGAATCAACAGAACACTATTAGAGGCGAGGCAGAATTTCGATTTTTCTAGTTTCCGAACTGAACGAGCCATCTGAATCAAAAATGAACGCGAATCTAGAATACTCAAACCTTTAAAACATTCAGGACACTTCTGTGTTCCCCCGAAACATTGCCAACAACAATCTTGATTCACAGTTTGATTCACATGGCTGGCAGCGCGTTTCATTAAATTTAATAAATACTCCGATCGAATCATCTAAAATGACATCACGTCCATGAAAGCTCGGCTCTCATCAAAACGGAACACATATGAATTCAACCATAATTTTGAAAAAAACGTTCATCACAAGGTATCAACAATATCAAAAGAAAAACGCTAACGCAGTCCACCGAGCAGAGAAATATCCTCACAAATAGAAAGATCGTGCCATTTATCACACATGATTTGGATCCAATACACAGCGAAATTAATGTTCCGTACACTTACATGACGGAACATTTAATATTGTTTATCATATTAGGTCCAAGAATTATTTCACCACGCGAAATGCGAATAGTCACGGAACGAGGATCATTAAGTCCACCAGAGCTTCCTTGATGCTTTCCTTTTCAAAAACTCGAAGTTTTCATCAGTAACTTGCTGGAGTTGAACGAATCACTCAGTCCGAGATTTCAAGAAGTGCAATCACAGGAAAACGCTTAGACAATTTACAGCATTTCACAGGATTATACGCGAAACGGGAGGATATTTCACGACTCGGAAGACAAATGCGCGATTTCCGGAATACATTTATGAGGTTTTTGGTTCGAGCCTCACTGTAACGCAAGAACATACGGCTTATCGTGCCGTTTCCTTCCGTGAATTAATTCGTAATCTCTGCGCATGTACGCGAACAAAATGTCCGACAGAAGCAAAATCTGGGCTGCGGCAAACCCTAAAGTTATTCCGAAGAAGAAATTAGCATTCGCTGACCCGTCGAACAGCCACAAGTGCCATAAAACTGGCGCTAGGACTAATGTTGCTACAAAAAAGCAAAATGTAATCAGCATTTGCCGCATCGTCGCTGCTAAATGAGACCACATCGGCAATATCGACAGGTAGAAACCAACATCTCCGATGCACGGATAAGACTTGAAAATCGCCGTCAGCACAATCAAGGAATACACCACCAAAATCGGCTCCCTGAAAAACAAAAGGTATCAGATTTTTCCGAAAGTAGATTGCCAATCATTTACGCGAATTCCCGATGGCTGCCCAAGCCTTTTTTCATAATTCATAATGCAGTCCAAAACACCAATAACTTGGCTTGAAACGCCACTAATATGACGAGCATTAGCAGATCATACGATGGTGTACAGATGAACTCAATAGAAAAGAGATGCGAGGCAGCTTTCACGAGGAAAAGTCAAATTCTGATGATAAAAACTCACCTTCGAAATTTGATCAATAGTGGAGCAGCGTAAATGAACGCGTTGATCTGGAATGAGCAGATGAAGAACATTCGAAAATGTTCGAACATTTCCGTGAAGAAGTACCAGAAGAGTCCAATATTCGGCGTTAGATCAGGAACATTCCATAGAAAGCCATATCGTGCACTCAAGAAGCTCCATGATCCCCCGGTCAACGCGAACGAGGCGAATAGTACTATTAATATTGTGCTCACATAGGCACAGCAAAAACCCAGGAAGTTCTGCTTCTTCTGGGTTTCCCAGGCCATGTATGCAGCAGGGACGAAAAGCACAATTGGATAGAAATCCTCATAGGCACACAAAGCTAGAAATGCTCCCAGCAAGGTAAATTTTCTGTAGCCGATGCACAAAAGACTCAAGGCAACTAGCACATTCGACAACACCGTCGTCGTCTCTGATGCGTTCAGCACAGTAAACGGACAAAATGTGTACGCCTTCAACACATTTCCAGCAGCTCTCGAAATATCATCAGTCTTCAGCATCATTGATTTTGCAGAATCTCCATTGAACAGAGATTTGTTCACACGCTCTTTCTCAACCATGCTTTCCATCAATCGCCACACAGCGAAATAGAGGATTGCTCCGACAGTCACATCAAGGAGGCATAAAACTGCTGAGATGATGGCTTCATTGTGTCCTGAGTATCGGAACAGCAACGAGCTGAGGTAGAGCGTCAGTGGCGTGCCGTGAAAAACGTCTCCATCGTACGGATCGATTCCGCGCGACCATAAGAAATGCCCTTCTTTCATCCGATGCCATGAGTTACTCGGCGTTGAAATAAGTGAACTATCGACAAATCCCGAGAGTAATTTTACGCGCGAAAAAAAGTATCTCGTGACGAAGCCGGTCAGTAACCACGGGAGTAGATGAAGCATTGCTGCACACAGCAGTCAAACTGCAATAGAAGAAAATAAATATCAGAAATATAAACTTCGGATGTAACGCCTTCTGCAATTATCCGAAATCGCAACATACGGGGAATAAAATTTGACTGCTTGTTAAGAATTTCGATACACCTAAGCCAGGGTTCCGCGGCCACAACATCTCTGGACGATTCGGTTTTTTCTTATAAAATATTCCCGAACAATCGTCACGAAATCAACGAGAAACTGCAAATCAAGAATTCCAGCTCATCGAACACCACGAAGGGCTGTAATCAAATAATGCACCCAGCATCGAGGGGCGATAGGCCAAAGGATCATCGATTTAACATTATACAGTACTCAAAACTCCACGTAACGCTCACGATGAAGTTTCAGAATGATTTGCAAAGACGATTCGCATCGTGGGGAAATCCTATCGACAAACCGTATACGGAGACCGAAAATACTTGAAACCAAGTTCATATTCATTAACACATATTTCACGGAGAAATCCCACTTCTCGAGTTCACTGCTCCTTTTTCTTCCGCCGAAAGCTGAAGACCGATCTTCACAGCCCCACGCGAATTTTCAAGCGCAGCGCACAGCAAGGCAAGACAGATGAATGTTGCAGATCTAGGCATGTTGTATAGGTGTCGCTACACGTTGAACAACCCCGAGCTCCCGGGTGCCCATGTCACCACCATAACTGAATGTGCAGTGTATACAGTATACAGTACCGCCCCTATCGTGGAGTTTTAAGGTACTGTAGTACTGTGCAGCGTAAGCAGCCCAGAAATAATGGTACTGAATACAGTATAGGTAAATATACAATCAAGTATGGTAATAAGCACTTAACATCTAGATTATTTTTGGTAAAATTCAAGATTTAAAAAGTTGCAATGCACTATATAACATCTGGACGTCTGGTACAGTATTTCTTTAATGAAAAATGATGTATAAAATATGCATTTTTCCAGCATGCTGGACTGAAAGTTTTTCAAAAGCAGCAGCTGCGGCTGCTGCTGTCTGCATGCCACACATGTCTTTGGTGCTGTATATATTTGCTGGAAGGTGCATTTGTTATATAGCTTCAAAATGTCAAACCTCATTCAAATTAATTTCCATACGGATCAGCAAATAAAAGTTGTATATAAGAGGTTTCAACTTAGAAAGGTGTGGAGTTAGGGAAGTTTTGAGTTAACAGCAAAGCAAGCATCTTTGTTGTGGGAAAAATGAAAGAACTGCAGGCAGGGCCGGATTAAGCTGGGTGTTATTGATGCTGCAGCATTAGGCCCACCAAAAAAATAGGCCCATGGACAATTTCCTAAGCTGGGGAATTTCTGATGAAAAATTCCCCAGCTGGGGAATACCAACTTTTTGAAAATTATGAAAAGCCTGCAAAAACAGAAGAGAGACAAAAGTATTCATGATTTCAAAAAGCAGGTATCAATCAATTCCAGGATGCTTCAAATGAAAAGCAGTGAAGAGGAAACCAGATCAAGGACATACAAATTGGTTGAGAAGAAACAATCATTCCTGCATTGAAGTTAAATCAAGGCCAATGGCCAGAAACAGGATGACATATGCTGCCAACAATTCATGGGAGGTGAAAATCAAATCAAAGGTTTAGATTCAATCCATGCCACTGGCAGCAGGATGAAATTGTCACTCCAGTCCCCACTTTGAAAGCCTTTTGTGGCCTCAAAAATCTTCTGAAGTGTTTTGTTGGTGTTTAGAAAATTGTAATTTTTCATTTTTGAAACATCAGTAATTTATTAACACTTGAGATGTAAAAAAGCAATTTTAATCAACCCATTCCCTGTTGTGCCTCCTTGGACAAACACCCACCAGCACTTGACCCTTGCTGGACAGCAGAGGGTTAATTTCCATCGTAAGGCAAAGTTGGGATATTTTTGGAGGGTGGAGCATTTCAGTTTGACCCAAAGGTTGCTGAAATGCTCCCAGGTTATTGAGAAGGCCTATAAGTCAGGAAAAATCTGGAAGACAAAATCTCTTTTGTTTTCAGGAATCTTCCATGCTGATCCTATACCAGGAATGCAGGAAAAAAATGCCACCCAGTGAGGGATTTTTTTATTTTCATCCAAAATGTTCTGCTGGATTAGAAAAAATGATTAGAAAAAAAGAAAAAAATGAAAAAAATGTAAGACTTTTTCCCAACTCAGTCCTTCATACAAAAGTTGTATTTTTTAAATTCCGCGCTCTCAGTGACACAAAATTTTGCAAATATATCCCAACTTTGCCCTACAAGGGTTAAACATTGTTGCCTTGGGTTCCATGAATGCAAGTGTCCCTTTTTTTTTA